GAAGCGAAGTGAAAAATGCACAAAATGTAAGGCCAGAAGTTATACTCTGAGTGACAGCTGTGCAAAAGAGAATCAAAACCCAAAACTATATGTTGGAGAGGATAGAGATGCATTAAATGGGGAAAGTCTCCGCTCAGATTAGTATAATTTACTAAGATCAAGTTTCTTCATGTAAACGTTTGTCAGTATTTGCAAAAGAATGGAAAAATGACAGAAAAACTAATATTTGCAATAATACAAATTTAATGTGAAATACCCAAATTACTTTTGCCACAACAGACTCTTGGATAGAGAGAGAGAAAGGAAAAAAAAAAAAAAGACCAACCAAAACCCTTCTACTTAACATTACAGGTAACTGGTCACTGAACTATGTCACAGTGCTGGTTTTGAGTCAGAATCATTCTAGGCAAAAGAAATAAGTAGGTTCATGGTGTATTCTGTAGAAGGATTTTTTTGCTGCAGAAACTATATATTGCATTTTTTAAAAACAAAAAGTAATGTGTTTATAAAGGACATAACTGTAATCTAGTGTATTCTACAGTGAAGGTGGGAAGTGTTTCATGGGCTCGGGTGTACCGAAGTACAGCCGAGTTCTGCCGTGCTTTTCTGTAACTCAGCATTTACAAACCATAGTCAGGAGTTTAAACTGCTCTTTTCCTTTCCATATTCAGTTTTGTAGTTACCATAATAACTGTTAGGTCTGAGTGCTTGTGTGGAAAGTATTCCAGATTTATGATATCTCTGAGGCATTTAATAAGGATTCAGTAGAACTCATCATAGCCAGTCTTCCAAACTGCATAAATCCCCATGTCAGTGGCCTGGTGAGCTGTTCAGCTGCATCGGTCTTAGGAAAATTGTTGTCCTGAGACAGCCTAGCTTAAAGAAATCCTGTATAGAAATGTCCACCTCCTGGTGGGTCTGCAACTCCTGTCTTTTAGAAATGTCTTTCTTCTCAGCAGAAGAGGAGATGCAGACAGAGTTTTTCTTCCTCATCCTGGAATAATGCCTGGACACAAACAACAGAGCAACTCCCCACAAATACTTTGATTTGGAGAGGAGTAGGTAAATAAGATTCTTGCTTTCATACATATCCCTGAGGCAGTCCTTGTGTATAAACAGGGATGAGGGGCAGTTTGTGGGGTTCCCTGTCATCTCCATGCCTTAAATGCAACTTTCAACCTTCAGCTGTCCCTGCTCAGTGATCCCAGGCAGGCTCACCGCAGTGTCCCAGGGCAGGGAGGTGCTGGGAAGGGGCTGCTGGAGGGAGGAGCATTGGCCTTCCTGCCTCCCCCATCTGCCACACCGGAGCTCCTGGAGAGCCTCACAGCTCACCAAGAGCTGGCAGAATGGGCTTTGGAAAAACACCCCCAAAATACTCCAATTAACACTGTTTTGTGGAAATGTGATAAACTTTACCTGAGGTGTTCAAAAGAAGTCAGAGCAGGTGTTTGTCTGCGAGTTGCATTTTATAGGATAGGGCTCTGTTTTACTGTATCTGCATTTCCAGTACGTTTATCCCTGTGAAGTGTTACAAAATTAAGCCAGGACAAGGGTTAGTGATCCTCAGCTTCATTCTGTGTGATGGTTCACAGTTTGTTACTTAACTTCGTCTTCTTGAATATTTTAAGAGAAATTATAGCTTGGGTACAATAAAATTACAATTGAAATGATAATACAGTATTGACTGAAGTAATAATATAGTCCACTTACTTATTCTATCACTGGTGAATGCTATGAACCCCTGGAGAAATTTTGGCTTCATGGCAGCTTTGGTTCCATTTAAACAAGGATAACAGAATAATAAACCACAGGAAAGTATAACGATGCTTCAAAGGAAGTACACAAAGATATCTTCTGAGTGGACTCGTATGGTGATAAATATAGACCAAAGCAAATAAGGTAGAATATTTATAAATACAAAGATAATTTTACAAATATTTTATATAACTGTATAGTTCATGAGAAAAATATTGTTAGCTTGTGTTAGGTTTGGGGGGGGTTTGTATATTTTGATAAAAACACAACGACTTTGTAACTCTGTATATTCTCTACAGTTTATAGCAAAGCAGTTTTAAGACGGCAATGTCATGTTTATAGTTCAATTGTGGCACTTTTACTACAAGTAACACGTTGCAGTAATTAATTGAGTATTAATGACCAAATTAGAATTAAAGTACGTGTAAGAGAAGGTAAATACTATACGTTGTCAAAGACTGTAATTTGCTACATAATCACATCTGTATTTTTGTTTAGAAGAAAATATTAAATGCAGATGTTAAGGATTGATAAAGAGTCTAATTTTATTTTTAGAAAGAGTGATTATAACTCTGTTTTTGCTTAATTAAAACAACATATTCCTATTTTCCTGTAAGTCTCTCCATTTTTTAAATTCTTTTAATACCTATATAATCTATAAGATCCACAGATACGCATCTTTAATAGTTATTTCTTTAGAAGGTTAAGCAACACAGTCCCCAAGCATCCCTTCATTAAGGCCAAAGCAGCAAATTGAGATCATGCCAGAGCTCAAGGGAAGTGATGGAATCTCCTGGCACCCTTTAGGATGAACACAGAGCTCAGCAGAGCACAGTCCACCTGCTCAGTGTCCCAGAGGACTTGGCAGACAGGTGAGCTGTGTTTAACACTTTCCAGCATCTTCAGTGTGTTCGTGAGGACCTGAAACTTGAACAATTATTTCAGTTCTTCTCTAGTAACCTTTGTAGTCTGGATTGTGCATTTTACACGCTGTACGTCAGATTTTTTTGGAACTGCCGTGAAGAAACGTAGTTCAAAATGCAAATATCGAGTTGCATATGAAAATACAAAGTTACATACAAAATAAAAGATTATGCATATTCAAAGTACTTCCCCCTTCAGCTAGGTGTCACTCGTCTGTAACCTGCAGTAAACATTCAATCTAAGCTGAATTATGCAGGTCATTTTGGGATGGTTCTCAGGAGAGATGTGTAACCAAAAAAAAAAAAAAACCCGGAAGCATGCCACTTGTAACAAATACTTTTTTTTTTTTAATTAGCATTTCAAATGCTAATTAAAAAGGCAGGTGGATCATCCCAAAGTTTTTGCATCTAAACAAAATGTTAGTCAGCCCTCAGTTATGACTTACCCAAAATCAGAACAAATGCACTCATTCTGCTGTCTTGCGTGAAGTGAGATAGTGTGAGCTAAACTCCAGCCACTACATGTCATCATCATCACTATTACTTGTTCTAAACTTCCTTAATATAGCAGTTAGCACTGACAGTTCAACACCTTAGCTGTCAGGTTATCTCACAAGAGCAAAGATCCATCCTCACTGTTAAATGAAGAAATCCTTCCCCTGAGTCTGCAAAGGCAGCACACCAGTGTTTGTTTTAACCATAGCTGCACAGACCTGCCTGTCATACAGGTGCTCCTAAAATGTAGCTTTTAGAGAGGTCAAAAATGAACGTTATGCAATTGGAACATTATTCTCAATATAGTCTGTAAGATTAAAACAAGGCTTTTTTAAAATGAAAGGGAGTGTCAGGAATCAGGCAGTGGCAAAGCTCGGTAATGTCGATAGGCCTGTGCTTCAAAGAAAGCTGATATTAAGTTAACGCGTTAAACCCCACCTGTAGTCATAACTTTTGAGAGGGTATGGAGGCAGTAGAGTCCCACAATCTAACTTTGAAAACGAGGCAACACACAGTTCAAGCACACATGTCCATTCTCAGAGTGCTGCCCTGCTCCTTTCTCAGATCAAAGCTCTGACTCTGCCCGGGTTAGCCTCAGTTCACCAGCCAGGCAGGGCAGCCAGCCTAGACAGCCAACTGTGGATAATCAGCTCCTCAATTTGTACTGTAGAGGAACCTCTCATTTCCAACAGGTTAAAATTCAGCTTATGCAAACCCATGTCTTTGTTCAGGTTTAGGTTTTGCATGCACACAAACACGGCTCTGAGTGGTTTGATGAAGCAGTTCATTCCCCACCACTCCCTGCCCGCCACCTTCAAACATACCTGTCCTCCCCCAACCACCGTGTGGAGTGAGGGGACGAGGAAGGGACGTCACCCCTGCTGAGGGAGCAGCAGGTGAGAAGCTGGACACGGGAAAAGCCACCAAGAAATGAGGTGCAGCAGTGCCTGTCAGATTATGTGGCTCAGTGCTGTTACCATGGTAGTATCAGCAAGATCTGTGCAGGAGAAATGAAAAGTGGCCAGAGCAGCGCAGCAGGGGACTTCAGTGAAGAGATGTATGACAGATGGGGGCCTGCAAGCTTCCCTTTAACAGAAGGACAGACTTTTAGGTGCAAAGTGAAGAATCCTAGTCCTATGCTGCTTTCTGAAACAGTTTTAGCCTGCTGAAGTACCTGTGTTTAAGGGTATGTCAGTCACTAAAGGCTTTCACCAGGCTCTGCCTGAAGGCCCGGCAGCTGCTGTACCCTCAGCCTGACCCTCAGTGGCACTGATGTGACACCTGTGGCTGGGTGGATTACACAGGCCCATCACCGATGCAGGACTGGACTTACAGCAAGTCGAGGTGTAAGCCCTATCCCAGAGTTTCACGTTAGGATCTGTGTCTTCAAGAAACATTGCTATAAAATGTGATGTGAAGGTGAGCAGCTGCAGCCCCTGGGGAGCTCCCGAGGGAGGCGTTGCCCGTGGCAGTCTGTGGGGGTGAGACACCCGCTGCCAGACGGGCATTCCACCCTTGTTCCACGGCATTTCTTACACAGCCGAGCAGGCACACGCGAACCAGCGAGCGCAGGAGAGACTCAGCGAAGACACTGCCACGTCCAGTCTTTCCTTAGAAACCTCCAGAAACGGTGGCTCCGCCACCTCCCTGCGTGTCTGATCACCCTTTTTTGTGAAGAAACCCTTCCTGGTGTCCAACTTAAACCTCTCCGGGAGCACCCTCAGACCGTGTCCCCTCGTGCCGTGCCCGCAGCGGGGCGGGCGGAGCGCCCGGGCTGCCCTCGCCTCACGCCCTGCCGGGGGCGGGGCCGGGGCGGGGCGGGGCCGCTCCCTCAGGGCGCGGAGTGCGCAGGCGGGCGCGATGGCGGCCGGGGATGGCGGCGATGAGGTGCGGGTGCTGCAGAACCTGCGGGGGAAGATCTGTAAGTGCGGCGCTGTGGCGGGGCCGCCTCCCGCCCGCGGCCGCCGCGCTCCGCTGCTCGCTCCTGCCCCGGCTCCAGCGCTCCCTGTGCGCGGCGGGGCTGGCGGGCTGCGGCGCGGCGGCCCTGGAGGCGGCGGGGCGGGGGCGGGCGGGCGCGGAGAGGGCCCGGGTCGGTGCGGGGCCGGTGCGGGGTTGGGGTCGGGCCGGGCCGAGCTGTGGCGGCCCCGCGAAGGGGCTTTGTGGTGGGAGCGGCGACACGTGCGGGCCGGGCCGGGTAGCCCGGGGCCAGGCGGGCGGGCGGGCGGGCTGGGGGTGTGCATGGATGGAGGGATGGATGGATGGATGCATGGATGGATGGATGCGGCGGGGCCGCCGGAGGCCCGCGGGGGCTGGGCAGCACCCGTTGCAGCGAGGGTTCCCCTGAGCCCGCGGGCGAGCAGAGATGCCCCCTCCCGCCCGGACCTCGGGCACCGGCGTCTGTTTGTGAGGCAGAAATTGCGAAACGAGCGCGTTGTGCAGGAAGTTGGTGGTGGAGGGCTGTTCTGGAAGCGGTCAGCGGTGCTCCCGAGCCTCGTGCCTGCGAGCGGAGCGGAGCGGGGCGGAGAGAGGGGCCGGTGTCTTTATTTTGGGGGTCCGGCCCGGCGGTGCCGGGGGAGCCGCGCTGAGGGGCAGAGGCAGGATGTGCGGCGGCTTCCTCGGGTACCGGAGCGCGGTCATCCCGCTCGTTTCCTTTCTCACGGGGCCCACCGGCTTCTTCGAGAGTGAAGCAACACGGGGTGACTCGGGCACGGCGCTGGGGCTGAGAACCGGTTGTGAAAACGTGTCGGAGGATTAGGTTTGGTGGAGGAGTGGAGTCGTGTTTACTTAAATACCGTCATGCGGCGAAGGGTTGAATGTGTCTTCAGTAAATAGACTGAGCCGTGAGAGCAGCAGAGGGCCTGGGCTGGAGCTGGAGCTGCTCCCACTCTGGTGTGTGAGCGATAGAGCCCTGCTGGGTGTGCGGGGCTGAGCGCACACTTACCGAGAGCAATTAGCAATTAGCACAGAAATAATACGTCAGATCGCCTTTCAGAAAAAGAATACTGTTAGTTTTGGGGTTAAGGCATGAATTCGTAAAGTGGTTTGAGTTGGAAGGCACCTTAAAGATTATCTGGTTTCAGACACCTTCACTAGAGCCCCATCCAGCCTGGCCTTGAACGTCTCCAGGGATGGGGCATCCCCAGCTTCTCTGGGCAGCCTGTTCCAGTGCCTCACCACCCTCACAGTAAAGAATTTCCTCCAAATATTTGACCTAAATTTCCTCTCTTTCGGTTTGAACCCATTACTCCTTGTCCTGTCACTGCAGTTCTGGGGGAAGTGTCCCTCTCTGGCTTCCCTGTAGGCCCCCTCTGGATACTGGAAGGTTGCTGTGAGGTCTTTGCACAACCTGCTCTTCTCCAGGCTGAGCAGCCCCAGCTTTCTTAGCCTGCCTTCAGTTATCTTCAGCAGCCAACTTTTTATGCATGTCCTAGGAGGCAGGTCGTAGTCCTGGGAATGCTGTGACCTGCTTCCTAGGAAATACATGAAAACTAGGTTGCTGGGGATAACTGAAGCTGACTTATTCTTTGATACCATTTTTCCTATCTTTTATTATCATGTTTTGTCAAAACTGGACTGCACAGCAAGTTGATACAAGTTTTCCACTAAGAATTAAAAGGCAGAACACGAAATGTCTTGAGTCTGACATTGAAACTGGTTTTATTATCCCATTTATGTTATGGATTGGATGTCTGGTTGTATCGTGGCTTTGAAAACAGAGGACTGTGACTTGCTTCCCAAGGAATATATAAAAAGTTGATTGCTAAAGGTGAACCTGTAAGAAGCATTTGGAAAATGAGTGGAAGCAACAGCTGCAATAAAAGAGATGTCTTGAAACAGTGTGAAAAGCACTTTGTGAAGCCACTTGTTCCTTCTAACAAAACAGAAACCTTTTCAAAAATAGGCCAGTTAAATATGCTGTGGAAGCTTGGGAACCCTCTAATGCTTAGATGCTCTTTTGGCCTCTTTGCACAACAAATACTGTTTTATTTTCGCTTCTTGCTAGTATTTTAATACCGGGTTTTGTAGGGGAAAACCCTCGGACTGAACAATAATAAACAAATGTAACAGTGTAATCCCCCTGGATCTGAAGGGATTAGCAGTAGCGGACCTCACTTTGGAAAGCTGATGTTCCCAGTGTGAAGGCATTCCTTGTAACTCATTTCTTACAAGGGGAATACATTTCTGTGCCTAAACTTTGACACATTTTAAGCGACTTGATTTAGAGAGCATGGTATTCCACATGTATAGAAAACACCATCTGCAGGGAGCTGTTATTTATACTGTTTTGCAGTACACAAATAGGCAGTAAAATCTAAAGTTGATGATGTTATACAAATCCTCACACCGGATTTAGAATTGAGACGTGGCTTTAGAGGTGTTTTAAGTAGCCATTACACACGTAGCAGTGGAAACACTGAGGAAGAAGACATCTGCAGTCCCTGGTGCCCTGCTTTCGGGGGTGTCAGTCCTTGCAGCCAGTCTCCTGCCCCCACTTTTCAAGTAAGAGGCAGGATGGACTGGTCTTACCAGTTTAAGACCCCATAATATTTTTTGGGAAAATGGATTACACTTAAGCAGGTTGTCAGCAAAAATCCACTGAAAGTCTGTTTTTCCTTTATGATGATTCTTTTGTATTGGTGGCTCTGTTTTTTGTGTCATGATAAAGCACTTTTGTCATTACAAAGGTCTGTGGGTGTCTGTAGCTTTAGGCATATCTCACAGTGTAGTGTTTTAGGCTGTAAAATCAGCTTCTGTTTTCGTTTATGCCATTCACTAGTACATTTTTAGGGGGGCAGGTGTTTTTAGTTGCTTTGATTTTTGGATTGTTTACTGAAAACCTGTCTTAGTGGAGCACTTGGAAAATGTCCCTGACGTCTCCTAGAGCTCATTTGACAAAATTCAGGATGCATTCTTTTTCTAACTTGGTTATCTTGGATTATGCTGCACTCCTGGAGTGGATTTAATTGTTCTGTGTAGTGTTTAATCCTGTGAGGAAATGCTTTGGAGTTTGTGTGCATTAATGTCTTCTGTCAGGGACAAAGAAATCTAGAAGATGTACACTAATTGCACACTTTCCTTCGACAGAGGGTGTTATATATATACTGAAAATCCAAACGTTCAGGCAGATATCTGATGTTGTCAGTGCTTGATTCTGATGCAACCATTGTAGCTCTGGGTTTCTCAGAAAAAGGAAAACTTGGTGTAATTGAAGACTTGAGTCTTTTTCTCTTAAAGCACATAAGCCCCTTGGAAGAGTTGGACCATTCACATGGATGAAAAGTGTCCCACAGTCACAGATGTGGTGTTGGAAGGGATGTGAAATCCTCCTTACTTCACCTGACAAGTGCTCTGAGGGTATTTTTAACTCCAAACTGAGAATCGTCCCTTGCCTTAATTTGTCTGTGCCTTAAAGCCAGACACCTGGGCTGCAAAATAAGGGTTTGTGTCTCATTAGGAAATCAAAACTTATATTTATTCTGTTTCCTTGTGTAGAAAGTTTCTTTTAGTACAGAAAAACTGCGGTAGACATAAAAATAGTGAATTACGTAGAAATATTCGATTTTTACTCCTTTTAACAAAACATGAAACTGTAATAATTATGATTTCCATTCAAAGTCCACTGTCTGGTGCCTCTACAGTGATGATTAAATAACGTTATATCTTAAATATTGCATGTAAAAATAGGATGGTGAAGTTACAGAGTATTAACTAAGAAATAAAGATTCTTATTGGGGAAAACAGAGACATGCTTATTAATTACAAACTTAGGATGTCAGGAGCTCTCTGGGGTTTACCAGCCTCTTTCATTACTTGATTTTTGTATTTCCTATGTTTTATTAAATAACTTAAAAAAAAAAATTAAGGCAATGTTTAATGTGATGCTTCTCTCTGGTCTTCTGCAATATCTCACTTGAGGGTAACTTTGAATTTAGTGCCTTTTTGGAGTCTAATGGCATTAAAACCAGGTTCTGTTACTGTCTGTCAGTCTGTCAGACAGGAGTTCCTGAAGTGCCTGTTGGTGCTTTCCAGCAGTGTCCTTGTCCCTGGCTTGGAAAGGATCCTGCCTGAGGTTCAGTCTGTGCTCCTGTTGAACTGTCACAGGGCCCTTGCAATGCTGGACATTACTTAACATTCAAGACTGTAATAATTTAACTTAAATTAACCATTTAACACACACACACATAAAAACTGTGGAGGAGAGAAAAAACCAGAACCCTGATTTTACATCTTAACAGCACAGCAATGCAGCTTACTCCACTGTGCTTCATATCTGCATTTTTTTAAAAAAAAAATGTGTGACATTTCAAATCTGATTTCAAACTGATTTCTGAAAGGTTGTTTGTTATTCAGACACGATAGGTTATTAAAATTCAATACTCTGATGTAGTTTTCATCCTGTTACTTTTTAATATCTTATATAGATAATAGCAGAATAAAAGCTGAGAAGGGTCTGTTTGCTGCCCTCAAAAACATTCAGAGGGGAAGGAAATATCTGGGGGGGGTATGAATAACTGTTTAGCTGAAGGCCAGTGTTGCCATAACTCGATGTAGGTGTCTGTGGCATTCAGATGTCAGAAGAGCTTTCCAGTTTAAACTCTGGGAACTGGTTGTAGCTGTGACTGCTCAGAAGCAACCATTTCCAGAAAGGGCTGTCCTATGCCCAGGCTGTTACTGCAGTGGCCTGGACTGAACACCCAGCAAATCCTTGTGTTCTTGAGCTCACAATCTTCCTTTCTCATTAGAAACTTCCTTTTCTGCTTGTTCTTATCTACATTACAGTGAGTCAGGAGGTGATTATTTCCCCCTTCTACTAGACCAGACAGTTAGGAAAAAATAAAACAGTACTCATGACTGGTATATTTTCAAAGGTTCAGCCAACTTAAAATCCGCTGCTCGCCGTGGAAAATGAAATAAAGATTTGATGGGCGAGTTCTCATTAATCAGCTTCCTTTACCAAAGTATTTGCAGAGAAAATACGGAGTGAACAGGAGCTCAGGCAGATCATGTCTTGGTGTTGTGACCTAATGCCACATCACCTCAGGCTGCTGGGATTTAGCAAGCTGTGCAGGGTCAAGCCCTGAGATGAGACCTCTGAAGGGAAAGTGCAGGTGCTGCAGGAAGTGGTGCTTCTGAGTCAGTGCTTGTGTGTCTCTTCCTTCCACGTGAAGCGGGATGTGGCAATTGCTGTGCCCTCTTGGAGCTTGTGGAGTCGAAATTTAATATGGAAACGCGTGTGCTGAGCGAATGGAAACGTTCATTTTGGAGGCATTAACACTGTAAAATGATTGTTATAAATTATTATTATTTTGTAGGTTTTCCCCCTTTGGTATTTACAGTCATTTTATTTATTTGCAGATGACGCCAAACACTTAGTACCCAACAAAATGAGAGACTTTTTCTGTACCATAAACTTGGACCAGGAAGAAGTTTTTCGTACACAAGTAGTTGAAAAATCTTTAAGGTAAGCTCAGTTTTTAAATGGACATGATAAGCAAGACTGCCCGAGTTCTGAATAAGAACAAGATGTGGATGTGCTTCTGCTTGTACCTCTGTAAAATGAGGGCTGACTTGTGGCAGCTCCTCAGATGTTACAGCAATGTGTAAATCGTAAGAGTGGTTGAAAGAAGACAGAATTGAGGCTTGTGAGTAGAATGGTGCTTTTCAAATGGAGCCTGCTGAAATGCTGTCACTTTATTCTGTTCCACTGGGCATCATAACCTTCTTTTTCTTGCCAGCTTGTTGTCAAGGGAAAGAAATCTGCTTGATACTTTCTCTCTAATTCATTTCCTACTTGTGGCATGCAGTTGGACTGTGCTGGTGGAACTCTGCTCGTGGTGGTGTCTTTCTGGTAAAACCTGTTTGTAGAATGAAGGAACGGGAACTTTTCCACGTGTGAGAGTTTTTTGTGCTGTGGGATGTCCCCCTGAATAGGCCTCATTCTTTCCTGAAATCCTTCTGGGAACTGGAACCAGTACCCACAGAGGATGGTTTGCTCTGCCCTCCTGAGCAGCTCTGACCTGTGGATTCTGATGGTTTCTTACAGCCTTGGAAACAATCAGACAAAAAAGCCAAGCTAACAAAGCTGCTAACAAAGGGGTGCAGGTGCTTTTATGCCTCAGAACTGAAGTGCTCACACTGAAGCATCACTGCAGCTGCATTGTCCAGGATATCTGAGTGACAGCTTCAGTCATCTGGAGGTGCCATTAAACCTTCCTCTTAAAACCCAGAAAATCTGCTCCAACTTTTGCAAGTTTTCCTAATTCCCATTCCCAGGGGTTTTGTTGTAGGTGTTTGTTCTTTGGGCTGTCTCTCCAGGTGTCTGCAGGTGAGGAGCAGCACATTGCTCACAGGGCAAACTCAAACAGAGAATTTTACTTTCTCAAAACATCATTTCAAAGCCTCCCTATGCTTCTGCATGGAAAGCCAAATGTCACATCTATGCAGTCAGGAGCAAATACTTTGCTTTAATGCTTTGCAAATACTTTATGTGACATTCACTTTTTTTCCTGATCTATGATTGCTACACTCAGATTCATAAAATTTTCAGAATTTTACTGTCTTTGACTACCAAAACAAACTCAGCTGAGTAATCCTTCAGAGAGTAACGTTAAAGAGACTGTACTGATAAGGGAGAAAACATTTCCCCTTAAAATAGGCAGTAGTTTGATGAGCAAAAAAAAAAAACCAACCCAGCATATCTTTGAAAAAGAGAGACTTTGCTGTCCAATTTTTGATATTTTAGTAATGTAAACTCTAAAAGTTACTGCCATGCTTAGAGACAACACCTGTTAAATATGATGTTTTGGCAGACATTTTTATTGTGCTCTGTTTAAGGATTATTAAATTTATATACTTGCATGGCCTGATAATAAAAGAAGTATTAGTTGCATAGTAAAACATTTGATAAAATAAAACACCTTAGATTCATCCTTTTTTTTTTTTTTAATAATATTGAAGTTTGAAACTTGATAAAATGAGAACGTTGATGTTAGTACTTAATAGAATTAATAGAATTAAAATTAGTTTTGGCTGCAGTGATTGGAAACTATCAAGAAGTGTATTATTTTTAAATGTGCAGATAGATTTGAGCTTCCATTAGCACTGGGAGTGTTGTTAGAGTGCAGATGTAAAACAAATGACTTTCCAAAGTTAGAAAAACAAGCATTAATACTGAAGTGAAAGAGGGATATTTTGGCTGATGACTCAAGAAATCTTTCCTGACATGCTGTGGGATTTTTCTGAGTTCTGAAGAAAGAGAATTTTTTTTCCTTTGGAAAGTTTAAAGAACATCCATGAGCCTCCTCAAATGTCTGTGGTCAAATATGAGGAATTGGGGGAGGGGAAGTTATGGTGTCTATGTGTCCTTTTTTCCCCCTTTTTTTTAAATTAATTTAAACTAAGTTCAGTTTCTTTTTTTTCCAACTGAACTTGGTGGCAGTGCAAGGTTATACAAGGTTTTAGCACAGCTGAATTCCCTTGTTGGTGTAACTGTTGCTTTCATCAGCTGGCCAGATGGTGGGCATTGGTCAGTTCCTGTCACAGATGTGCCAGTTTAATGTAGCAAGGAGGGGAAGAGCAGAGCAGTGTGTCACACACCGAAATTTAATCTCCTGTATTACTGTAATCCAGTTCTTCCTGTGTGGCAGTCTGGGCTTCCTTTGAATTAGCGCTATCTTCTCATTTTCTATCCGTCACGCTCTTTAAAGTTCTTGCATCAAAGTCACAAATGAAAGTACTAAACTGACTGAATCCCTGAGGAACAGGATGAGTAAGTTCTCCATTTTAATTATTCCTCCTTGGTTTAACCTATATTGTACCAGTCAGCCAGTTCTGTATTCACCTAAGAATTTCTTTATTAATCCTTTGTATTCTCTACCTTAAATTCTCTCCCTCTGCCTCATACTTTGCTAAAGAATAATCAACAGCTGATTCATAAAGCAGTGGTGTTAATTTAGCTAAGGAAAATGCATCAACACGAGTAAAACTGCGTGTTACCTTCTGTTTATAGTCACACTGTTGACCTGCTCTTGCTTGCAGCAACTGAGACATTTTTGAGCTGAGTTACTGTGTCAATACAATTACAGTGAGCAGTGGTGGTAATAAGGAAGCTGAGGCTGTTTAGGGCTGCTAAAGGTAATGCTCGTGAATTTATACCTTCAGTCATGGGTGCTGAGCAGAACCCGGCCCTTGAAATCAAAGCAAATCGAAATTATTAATAAGGGGTGAAAAAATGGGGAGCTGAAAAACTGCAAGTGAATTTTTCAACTGAGAATTCTTAAATTATTTCTCAGTATAGTTGAAGGCTAATACTGATTTGCCTGTGGTTAAAGGTTTGTGTTTGAGCAAAAGGAATGTTTTCACTTGTGAAATTCCTTATCATGAATTCCTGCAGTTAAAGCTCTGGTTTCTAAACATCTGTCCTAGACATTTGCATTACTAGATTTTTCAGCTGTGTTCTTTTCCCAGAAGTTTTCAAGTTTTTTTTAAAGTTTTAAACTTTTCTTTTTCACTTTTTTAATGGGTGTTGTTTTCTTTTTCTGTGATTATTTTGGAGGGAAGACAACAGGGATAGTGGCCTATTTTTCTTGATATCCTTTGAGTAGGTAATAATGTGAACTGCTTGTTCCACAAATAAGTGTATGTGTCTTAGCTTAGTAATACAGGAGTGTCAGAATGTTACTTTACTGGGAAACAAATAAAACCCCAACCTTTGTTTCTGGGTGTGGTCTAGCTGTTATCACAGTACTTTTCTGAATAAAATTGGTTTCCTGAACCTGAACACCTTTCCCTGGTGATGTTCACACCTTGGAATCGAAACTATTTTAAGGCTTTTAAGAATTCAGTTGTTCTGAAATAGCAGTTTTGTTTGTGTATGCACTTGACTTTCAGAACTCACCACTTCCAGTGACACAAGCAGCGCTGTGGTTTGGTTCAGTCCTGAAATAGTGTGTTGATTGCAGCAATAAGTACTCCTTAGGGGTAGGGGGAGTAAACACCCCGTGAGTGAAGGTACCTACACACTGTTTGGGAGATGTAGAACACAGAGGAACCCAGAGGCTGCTCTGTAGAGGGACAGGAGGGGTGAACTGTAAACACTGGATTGAACTTCACTGGATGCACAGATGTGGTGATCATTTCAGCGTGAGGGAGAACCTGAGTATGTGAGATTAACATTCTCTATTTCACTGTTCTGTTTTAGAGTTTCTAATGCTTAGGGCTTCCTTCCACAAGTCTGAATCTTTGAGCAGCAAGTCTGATGTGGAAGTTTGAGCTAAGTGAATGTCAGTTCCTGCAGTCATTAAATAAATTGTGGTTTAATGTAGTTTAACCTGTGAGTATCTCAGGAAGTCATTTGGGATGGGTAGAGAACCAACTGGAATAATTTCAGGACAGAAAAATTAAACAGAAGTTGCAGAGAAGACAACACTTTCTCTGTGTGTGCCCTCATTTCTTCCCTTCTTGTACCTACCCAAGGCTCTGCAGCTCTGCAGTGCTACTGTGTGTTCTTGTAGAAATGGCTGTGAATGGCTTTGGCAGGTGAGTGTAGTGCTGCAGGCTGGGACAGCAGCAGAAACGCAGCATTTTGATGTGCATCTTGGAGATAAACGGCGTCAAGTGCTGTTCTCTTGTAACCACCAGTCTTCCTTTTCAGCCCTTACTTTGGGGAAGAGTTTTACTTTGAGATTCCGAGAACATTCCAGTGGCTGTCCTTCTACATTTACGATAAAAGTGTTCTGCAGAAAGACCTGCGGATAGGTGAGTGTCAGTGAGGTGCTGTCTGTGTCCTGCATAACACTTGGGCATCTCCAGTAGCATTATCTGTAGGATTTAGGGATACAGTTATTGGGGATGCATTTTTCAAAGCACTGTGTATGGTGCACTTAAATGTTTCTTTACATTTTGAAAAGCGGGATTTTGTTTCCTTGCTGTATAGTGTTATACTGAAATATGTTTATTTTTTAGGCTAATAAGACATTTTATAGTCTTATTATGATCTCAGTACTTTTATCTTTTTATTCTACTTGTTTCTTCTACTTCTGCTTCATTGGAAATTTCAGTAATTGTTGCTACTGGTAGATCTTTAAAGAATGAGTTGTGGAATAAACCTTAAAACTATTTATAGATAATTTTTTTCTCTGTCAGTGCAACCTGTAACTTAGTGACTTACAAAGCATTTTGCAGCAACTTATGTAGCTTAGGTGAAAAATTACAGGAGGGGGATTTTTTTTTTCCCTCCCTTATTGTGTAATGTCTTTATTGCAGCTGATGTTTGGATACAGTTGCTATAAAACTCGAACAGTCTGCTCTGGAAGAAGCCTTCCCATTATTTGAATTGAGGAAGGAAATAATTTGCACCAGGATGCCAGATAATTTGGTATAATAACAGCTTTCCAAATAGCAGTCAGAAAAGTAAAAGGCATCTACTTCAGTTTCCTGCTCAAACATCCTTCAGCACCATTTCTGTTCTCTCAAATCTGTGATGTTATTTCCAGCCTCAAGTGTGTTCTTTATTTTACTTCTTATTAGTGAGATTCAAGATAACAAATGGTAATTAATGTCATCAGGTATTATATAAAATACTTTTCTGCTTCACTTATCCATGATATTCCTTGTTTCCATGGTTTTTTATATCCCATCATAAGCTTAAAAAAAAAAGGCATTAAAAGAAAGTTTGGAAAAGATCAAACCTATATAAATATTTGCTCTGTTCAGATGAAAGTGATGTTTATGCTTATCTCTCCCTCCCTCAGGAAAGGTGTCAATCAAAAAAGAAGATTTGTGCAACTACACGGGAAAAGAGAACTGGTTTATGCTTCAACCTGTTGATTCTAATTCAGAGGTCCAGGTAACTATTAAATTGCATTTTGAAAGTTAAATACAGATAAGGTCATGTGATGGTAGAGGTTTGTGTGGAGCTGTGGTAGATAGGGCTTGGCATCTGTCTCATCCTCCTGAGACAGTTGTGTCTTTCAGTTTGGTTACAGAATAATGCATATTTTGCACTCCTAAGCTGGCTGTGTTGTTCCTAATGGTGCTTAAAAGCAACTGTTTGGGAAGAGTCTTAACAATATTTTGGTGTCTAAAATGCTTGCAAGAGGAGCCCTGTACTTGAGACCGGTGAATGATTGACAAAACTCCTGAATAATTCCTTCTTTTGTCATTTTTGCTGTGAACTGAAGCAGTGACTGATGATGTGATGTGAAGTGGTTGGTCTCTGAAACCTGAAGGTACTTGTACTGTGCCCATTTATCTTATCTTGAAATACTTCTTGCATTCAGTATCGAACAACTCGCACTTCAGAGTTGTATTTTGGTCCGTGGTCCAAATTCTTGGGACAGGCTTGTCCCAGTAGTAGGTAAAAATGAGATGGCTCTAGGAGTTGTAGCAGTTCTCTTTTTGGTTTCAAGAGCACAATAGTGTTCTTGAGAATCTCTCAGCCTTGTTGCTGTGATAAACTATTAGATTTTAAGAGTTTTTTCAGATTTGCCTGAGGGCAAAAGTCTTAAGACTTGTCGGTGTTTACATTTTCGAGTAACCCGAAAGTCCCTCTGGGTAGGGAGAACCCTGTCTACTTCTACAAGAAGTGAATGTGCACAGGATTCTCATTATTTTCCAGGATTAATCATCTGTGAGCTGTAAGTTTAGCCTGCAGCTGTAGATAGGAGGGCATATGGTTCCTTTACATGAAGAGAGATTTTCCAAATGTCTGAGTACCCCTTTCTCTTATTTATTGAAAATCAGTCCTCATTCGGTTAGGACAGAGTGGAATAGAGGAGTTCATGTGGAAGAGACCTACAAATCATCTAGTCCAGCTGCAAGTTTTCTCATTCTTCCCATTCTCCCATGTAATCAGAGAGCACTTTCCAGGTATAAACTGAAAGGCAGTTTCTGCTTTGACCTCTACACATTGTCATGGTTGCTGGGGTTTTTTTGTGTCATAAAAATTAAAAACTTTTTATTAAACTTGCTGATTTCTACAAAATAAAACTGAATTGGGGCAGTGGAAAAATAAACAGACCGACTGTTTTCTAAAACCACCTTGCTTGTAATAAATTTAGGACTTCTCTAGAGTCACAATTCAGTCCTAATGCAGAAGCTGTAGACCTGTTGTTTTCTGTTCTGGATCACAGCTGATCTGAAGTGGAGGTGATTAAAAGTTCAGCAGAGTAAAAACACTGTATGCTTGAGTTCATATCAGTTTGTAATGAAAGAAGGATTATAGGGGTTTCCTTTCAAGTGTGTATGGGAGGAGAGTGGCCTCTCCCCAGCCACTGAAAATATGTAAAAATTACTTAGATTTTAGAAGGCATCTGCTCTGCTGCCTTTTTTGTTTATAAAATCTTAATTTATCTAGTTTGAAATGGGGTCATATGGTTAAACATGCCCTTGATCTTTGTAATTCAAGAAACTTTTATAGAGATTCGATCTGTACTTGCAAAATACATTGATAAGATCAAAGTCTTTCACTCACTTCTAAGGTTTTTCAAGGTAGTTCTCTTTCTTAAAATTGATAGGATTTATAGTTAGTGAGGTAGTGAACTCCATCTTCCTCTGGTCAGTGTCTGAAAATCGATTGTTAGTCCATTTGTGAAGTTAAGAAGGTACCTACCTGGCTCTGAACAGCCCTGAGATGTATGGATGAAAGGTGCATTCCCACGAAGGGCACTGTTTATTTGTTGTGTAAGAATGGCTGATTTCTCTGTTCTGAACTGAACCCCATCTGTGCAGCCACCTTTCAAACCCAGTTGTGTGTTGTGTCAGAAGTTCTGATGTAGATCTGCAGATCAGCCACTTCAGGAAACCATCACGCTGCTCTCAGCAAACAAAACAGATTTGTGCCCAAAACTTGTTGGGGAAATTCTTCCTTAGGGCCACGTTGCAGCAGTCACCACGGTGCTGGCTTTTGAACAAACATCATCCACAGGTAGTTTGCAGGAGCAGGAAGGTGCTGTTTTACTGCTCCTGTTCAGTGCAGAACACCGTTTGTGGTTCTTGTTTTTAAAAGCAAAAGCAAGATGTTGAGGACATTCTCAGGATCTGTTTCCTAAAACTGATTAAATCAGCTATTACAATAAGTACTGCTGATGTTTTTTCATTTGTCATTCACAAACTTCTCCTTGTAAGGCTGCTGGCATGCTCCAGTATCCTGTTTTTATCCTGTAAATCTATTTTGCTCATGGAGTTTCTCTGCTTGACACATACTTTGTTAATGTACCTGTGTTCCAGTCGGTGTAGCAGCAGTTTGCAAAACCCTTGGCAGGCGTTCCCAAAGCAGTTACGTTTTTAAAACCGCCTCGTAAAAGGAGCTTCCCTTCTCCTCCCCTGTGACGTGCAGAGAGGGAAATGCAGCCTTTGCCCCAGGGGATTTACAACAACAACATTTCGCTCCTGTGTCAAAACATAACTGCTGCAGAAATGTGTGCAAGGTCAGCCCAGGGTTTTGCTTCCATTTTAGTGCTGGACAGCAAAGCTGTAGTGCAGATTAGGACTTGCTGCCTTTGCCACACTTGGAAATCACCTCCCGGATCCCTTCCCTGAGAATTTGGACTGTGGGCAGACCGGTGTCATCTGATGCTCCATTTAGGAAATAGCCAAATTCCAGGAGTACCAAGGAGAACACTGTTAGAGGGAAGATCCTATCAGTGTCTGACTGTCTTAGATGTGAAAGCCAGCACAAACAGCCAGGCACTGAAAGGAGCAGCAGGTATTTTTCAGGCAGTAGCTGCTTAGAGCAAGGTTAGGTCCCAAATTTTGGTCATCCCAAGGAAGTTGCAGATCGTGGTGTGAAGTTTTTGGAGCCTTGTATTGAGATGGTAGAGGAGGTTGGCCCTTGCTGAGTTCTGAAGTTAATCCATGATGTGCCATCTTTTATGGATCATTTTTACCTAATACACCCTGCCATATCAGAGAAAGAAAATGAGGGAGCCGGATTTGCCACCTTTTCCTCTCCTTTGGCTGTGTTTGCTGTTCCCTGAGTGTATCAGCAGCCTTCATGAGAAAATTGAAAGCTGCAATGGGGTGCACGACAGATTTCTAGATGATTTTCGGTCTGGTGTGATGGACAGGATTTCACAGCTGGACGTTAAATGCTGCTGGTTACGGCTACTGCACAGTATTCTGTTCTAAATATACCCAGCTGCCTTCAGAGTCCAAGGTGCTTTTAGAGTTTTCTCCTGAAATGTTCATAAATCCGCTGTCTGTGCAAGGATTGCTCATCCCATGGTTAGGACAAAACAGCTGAGAGAGACACTTGATACTTCCTCATGCTGAAGAAATACTTGTATATGTTAAATTTGTGGAGGGTTGACCAATTCCTGTGCTGTCTGCAGTTGGAGATGATGTTTCTCTATATCATTATCTCAAAGTTCAAGTGCATCCATCATACCCTACTTGCAGGATATGTGCTTTGGATGAGGTATTTTTTTAAAGTGGTTATATTAGAAATACATTAAATAACTTCTGTCTGTAAAGTATATTACTGTTCTAATTCCTGCTTTTAAAAGAAAGGCTTTTAAAACTGTGTTTCTTTTTTTTTTCAGGGAAAAGTTCACCTTGAATTAAAACTGAATGAACTGATAACAGATAATGGATCTGTGTGCCAACAACTAGTAGTACAGTAAGAAAATACATAAATTCTTTAAAATTTCTTTGTTTGTTAGAACATTATGTGGTTTTTCTCTCCTGATCCTGTGTGTCTGCACAACCTGTACCAAGAGTATTTCCATATGACATTCCCTGGAGCCTGCCTTGTGAGGGAGGGGTGTTTGCTTAGGGAACTCCTGCAGAAACTTTTCACAGCTGCTCTTCTCCATTGCTGCCAAAGCACTGGCTTTTATTAGGACTCTTAGGATTAGTGTCTCGTAATTCCAGTGGAATTGTGTCTGATGAGAAAGCTGGGAATGTCCAGTGCAGCTGAGAGCCAAAACTTGCAGTGCTGCTGCCACTGACAGCACTGAGCTGCTACTGCTGGTGTTGGGAACAGGAATTGCTTTTTCAGTAGTAATATTTTGGGTTGATATCTGAAAATCCACTCCTCGTTTTGCTTCACAATTGTTTTCTCACGGTTAAGCATGATAAGGAGTGTTAATGGAAGAATGAAGTGCAGGAGTTGTGGTTCTGGAGCAGCATGTTTGTCACATTTCAACATCATCAGCAACGTCACGAGCTTTCACTGCCGAACTGAATTTTGACTCCAAAGCGTAAAGATGTTAGTGTGTCAAAGAGCATCACAGGAACAATTAACTTTTGGTATATCTTATTTCAAAAAGACAAATTTTTCCTGGTATTAAAGCAAAAGCAAAGAGTGAGAAATACTGGAGAATAGTAAATCCTGTATTGCTATTTTCAGAGCTTTGTTTGATAATGATCCATAATGATGGCTTTGGAGTCTGAATATCCAGGTTACAGTTGTTAGTCACAGAAGGCCAAAATTCCACATGTACTGGGCATTCTGTTTCTTTTTACTCATTGCTACAAAGCTAATGCAAATATAGCTGTACAAAAATGTTTTGACACTCCTAAAAAGTTTATCTTCTAAGGGCGTACTAGAGGATACTGATTTCTGGAAACTGATACTGTCCTTTATTTCTGAAAGTCTGACAGCCCTCTGTGTCACTTGCCTGTGAGAGATTGACTTTCACTGAAGAGACCAGTGCAAACCAATAGCCTGGGGATCAGGCAGATGGGCAGTGTTCTTGTGTCTCAGCAGGAGGTTCAGGAGAACAGGCCACTCTTAACTGCACTTCAGAAAATAAAGGCTTTTCTGCACTTGTCTTCAGACAAGTTGTGGGATAGGCCATGTGAAGAAAAGGGGGATTATAAAGACTAAGGGGAAATGAAAAACTCAAAAGTAGTAAGAGTCTTTAATTTTGCTTTCCAGCATTGTTCATTAGCTTGGATTTATTTGAGTGGGATTTTTTTATTTTTTAAATCTTCTTTGAGAATTCAGATGGAAGGGTGGGTTGTGTTGTGAGACTGCAAGGACAGGAAATGGTGTGTGGCCTTGTGCTCGTAGTGCCTTGTTCAGTCGTGTTCAGATCAGACTCAGTGAGCAGGGGGAGACCACTGCACTGTCAGTCTTGGTCATGTAATTTGTATTATGAAGTGAAGATTATGTCCTTCCTGTTTTAGTCAACTATCTGAACCGAGGGGAGTAGTTTAGTTGGCTCAGGACCCTGCCAGGTCGTCTCTGCTGTTCTCTTATTTCTTTTGATATGCAAAGGGAAGCTGGTTCTGTGATAGAGCTAAGCCAGTGAACCTGGGAATGCTTTAGCAGCTCTTGCAGGCTGATAATTCAGATAAAATGGAAACCTGCTGTACATCAAGGAATCTTTATAACTTAAAGGTAATTGGGAATGTGTCTGCTTTTCTAGTGGGGAACACCTTGGTTCATTGGGAGTCCTGCTGCTCTTATTTTTTCCCATTTGCAGCACGAAGGAGAATTAGAACAGCTTTTTCCCCATGGACTGTTCACCACCAAAAGCTGGCTGGAGCTTTATGACTTCCCCAACTTAGATGTCCTTTTTAAAATTTATTTTTTTATGTGTTCATGCGTTTTTAAGTTTAAAATATTTTTATTTCTTTTAAAAACACGCTTGGATTTTTCGCGCCGCGAAGAAAAGTTGCTTTAGAAAGTTACTGTTGCAGATTGCAGCAGGAAGTGGTTTACTCACCCTCTTAGGATCTCTTTGTGACGGAGATGATTGATCAGAAGGTTCTCTTTTGATTGCTGTGCTCACTCCCTGACACGTGGGAGAGGACTGTGCGTTGGACACCGCGCTGTTACATCAGTGCTTGTGAAATGCATCAGAGTTCCCTAAACTAAAAATGTTTGTTAGTGTTTTACCCCCCAGGCTGATAGCCTTGAAATAGTTGGATGCATTAGTCATACACTGTACATAAATATATTTTGGATGCACGTATGAGAGGATGAGAACTAAATCTCTCTGAATATGGTATTACAGAAATGGGTGTGAGGGCGTTTTTGAGACCCTTTGGTCTTAAAGTGTGAGGAACTTACAGAAAACACATGTGGGATTATTCCATAGAAAATTTAAACTCCTTAAAAATCTACTTATGTTGTTAATTTCCCATGATAATCCGTAAATGATGCACTGATTGCTGTGTTTCACGAGTCACCAGGCCCTGAGAAGACACTGCATTAGTCGTTCCTTGAACAAAGCTGAAAGATGGGAAGTAGAAGCTGGGATGGAGGTAAAAGAAAGACAAGGAGTGGGCACATGTGTGTATTTCTGTCCCTGACTTTTCCTTATCTGTCCTAAACTGCAAAAGTATTGGCCAAAGAAAGAAAAAAAAATTGTATATTTTACTTCATATCCAAATTAATAGTGTCTCAATGCAGTGAGAATGGCAAACCTTTGAACCTTCACCAGGTAATTTTTCTGTGGGATAAGAGAATTCTAGATACCTGTGCTGGCTTCTGTGCATGGGGAAGTTGCTAATGAAGTTCAGATGCAAAATTACAGCTCCAACTTTCCTAACAGGAGATTAAAGATCGTGTTCAGTGCACACACAAAAGCAAGTCATTCCAGGGCTGAGATTCTGATCGTGTCACCTTTCTGTTGGTGGCAGAACCGAAGCAATAACTGGCTAGGCATGGATTCCTGTTGCTTTGATTCTGGAAACGTGGTTTAAAAAGGAAGCAGCCTTTTTTGCTGGTCTTCTAGATGGGATTTATGACGAGGATTGATTTAAAACCTCAATTCCAGTCACTTTTTTTGGCATGCAAGCGTTAGTTAATCTTCCTTTGGTGAAGGACTGTCTTAGAGGTCACTGAGATGGGCTAAGCCCTGATTCTGCACATAATGTTTGTATTAATTGCAAACTTGCTTTAGTTTAAGCTCCATACAGGTTAAGATCAGAGCCTGTGAATTAAAGTCTTGTTTTGTCTCTTACAGTAACTGTTTCCTTTTCTGATGTGTGAATGAGGAGGGGGAAAAGATGGTGCAGGAGATTACCTGCTGACTCAGTGTGGGCTGATTTTTTCAAAGCCACAAGAGCATGTGTAGTAACACATTTCAGAAGTGCAGGTTGCAGGTCCTGGTTCTGGGAGTCTGTACAAACAAGTTTGCACCTTTTGCTGCTGCTGAAATAGGTGATGCTTGGGCAGCTTCTTGCCAAATTGGGCACTTGGATGGTAGCACTTGCCTTCCCTCACTTCAGCTGTGAGAAGAGGTTTTGTGTATTTACAGTGGGAATACTGGATAGCCCAGAAATGGTTTATTACAGCTAAACTTTGACTTCTTTGCACACACTTTTCTAAATCAGTGTTATCTTAAATTGACCTGTCAGTTTGTTACTGTCCTGTTTGTACTTCATCTGCTCATCTGAAGGTGTTCTAGGGAACCTAAACATTTTTTTGGGAGTGTACAGCTCCTAATGGTTGCAGCTGGGGAGGTTTTGCCCTTGGAGAACTTGGGTTGATTGGAATGGTGGAGGTTGAGTCCCTCAGTCACTGAGGAGGTTTGGTGAGGACTTATTTTCATCTTGTGAGCTGAATGTACACCAGTTATATCTGAAAGGCTCTCATTTCCTGTGTGAAACTCCTCTTGCACAACAAACTAGTGAGAGGTAAAGCAAGAATTAATGTAAATTGAAGCATGTCTCACACTGTACTGGAACTGATCCGTAGTTTGAGAAAAGAACAAAACTCCTTCTGTTTTCTTAGACTTTATATAAAGATACAGTACTTAAAAATATAAAATAGAAGGCTTCTAAATTCCTGTCTACCTTTTTCAAACTCTATGCATTTATGCTTTTTGAATGACAATTGCTTGTACCAGCCTAGGTAGATGAAATGATTTGTCAAAGCTGAAATATTTGCCATGTGTTAGAGCTGTATTTATTGTTGTGTCAGAATAGGAATGTGTATTTAGTGTTACTTCTTTTTGATGGGTCAAAGTGTTTGACATGTTGTTGTTGCCTTTGATGGGGTTTCTTGATGGCTGTTTTCCTGTCTAAGGAGGCAGCATTTCCAAGCACTGATTCTTTGAGGAAAGGCAGCATTCTGGTGGAATTTACCAGCTGGAAAACTTAGTGAGATTGCCCTTCTCCATCACTGTTAAATCTGCTCTAATCGAGCCACTTAAACCATCTTCAGAGTTTTTAACCATGTTTACTGGAGGCTGTTTGTTGAGCAGCTGGAAAGTGTCTGGAATGATTCAGTCTCGTGTCCTCGTCCCGGGGGAGCAACGATCCGGTTTGGTGGTGCTGAGTTGATTCCATGGCTCCCTGCCCCTCTTGGCTGCTGCCTTTGGAGCTTGGGAGGGCTCCTGCACCGCCAGGTTAGCTCAGCTTGCCAAAGTGACAGCTGGCTCAGACCCTGACCAGCTTTGTGTGGGGTCAGTAAATAGAAACACCGGGGGGTTCAGCTCAGCTGTGCTGTCAGATATTGTGTGTAAAGCAGACTGCAGGCACGACCTGGAGCTGAGGGATGGGCATGGCGGGCTAGCCTGGAGTGAGAGGTGGAAGGGGAGGAGCTGAGACAAATCAGAAGCAAATTCTCGAGCCTGGTAGGTGTGAAAGAGGAAGGTTTGTGAATTTGGGAGCTGATGGTCAGGGGAGGTGTTGGCCCAGGATAGGCTGGCTGAGCTGGGCAGGCCACGCTTGCTGTCAGCAGAACTGGGACTCGTGCAGGAGGTGGAAGGGGAATGCCAGAGCTGCCCACACAGGAGACTGAGTGGAGCATGAAACCAGCTCCGAGTGACAGATCCCTGTGATGAATCCAGAGATTCTGGTTCTGCTGCAAGGCTGTGTCGTTGCCAGTACAGTGTTTTTCAACTTGCAAGAAGTCACAAACAAGCTTTTCTGTAGTTTGTGTGGGTTGTGGTCAAGCTGTAAGAAGACCTGGGGAGAGCAGAACAACCTGTAACCAAAAGTCCAACAGCCTTTCATCTGTTTGCTAGAGAAATCCAGGAGCTTGGTGAACATGGCACAGGCTGGAAGAAGAAAACTTGTATTGTTAAAATAGTTCAGTTCTCTTCAGATAAGTTTGGCTGATCCATCTGCTGTGAATTCCCGATGAGATTCAAGTTGAGGCTCATTTACAGGCACACTCATTGCTCTCACCTGGAAAGCCCGAGGAGCTGCAGAACGGTCTGTTCAGTGCCCAGAATGCCCATTAGTCTGAAAGAATCAAGTCCTGACTGCCTCAAATCAGATCCCCCAAATGACTGACGAGTCTAGACAGTTTAATTTTGTCACCACTCTTCTGTGCCTCGTGTGTGTTGGAGGAGGAATCAATTAATGCTCGTGAAACAACTGGATGCTTCAAGAACCCTTTTAAATGGTGGGTTTGAAATCACTGTGGGGTTCATTGTGATTCAAAAATTATTGAAATGCTGAAGGCCACGTGCTTGATAACTGGAAGAAAAATAACAAATGATTGTGCAGTGGTTCAGCACTCAATGTTCCCTGAACTGGCTGAGACAAAGGGACTTTTGGGGGTGAAAATACCATCTGGTTTATAATTGTGCATACTGCAGAGAGGGTGGAGTTTTGAGTCAGCACGGGAGTGTTAGTGTCTGTTGTTTCCCCACTTGAGTTTGCAGCTCCTGTTACTCTTTCAGCACCGTTTTCCTACAGTACAGAAATTGTTTACTCGAATGTGTGTGGCTGCTGTTGCTGTGAGGTGAATTTAACTTGCCCTGCACAAGTAGATTCCACATTGCAGTATTGGAACATTCACTTAATTGTTTAGATGAACTCAGAGAAGTCTGGTTTCTCCTTAAGTTACCTAGCTTCTGGATTTTATTCAAACTGGCAAATTTTGACAACTGAAACTTACTTGCATTCATTTAGTTAAATTCCTGAAACACATATTTTTTAAAATAGATTATTTAAGAGAGATCAGGAATACAACATTCAGATCTCCTTTGTGATTTGTTTGTGAAATTTTGTAATGGGCTGAACGTTTCCACGAGTGGTAAATGAGTGCTGCAGTGTCCATGGTTACATTAGAGCATCATTTGGCCAGAAGTCTGGTTTGTGCTATGAATTCACAACCTCTTCTGCTTTGCTATTGTTGTTCCAGCTGTTTTTGGTTAATGCTCCTATGTGGGCAGCATCTGAAGGCTGGGCAGCTTGCTGAGCCAGCTCTGTGTTGCTGCTGTGGTGATTCAGGAAGGTTGCAAGCCTTCAGAAAAGCTCCAGAGAAGGTGTTGCTGTGCCCATGAGCATCATTTACCAACTGTCCTGTCCCTTTTGCATCAGGAGTGGTGAACAGTGGGCCTGTTGAACCACCACCTGACCGCCTACTCCATGAATTATGGAAGAAAAGTGTGTTTTTAAAAGGGCTATTTTAACCCTGAACATGGGATGTTGTGGGAAGAATTTGAAAATGAGCCTTAAGCAAAATTTCAACAGTAGAGGTAGAACTAGAAACTGATAGTTGGGGATGCTTAGTTCTAAATAATGTTTCAGGGTGTGACTTTGCATTTCTCAGCATAACTCAGAGTGTAGTTTATCCAAAACAAAATGTTTGAATCCATTTGAATGCCTCCTAGATGGAGCTGCTGCCATTGGATGAGGCCAAATGGCTTCTCGTGGGCCTTGAGAAATCAAATTTAAAAGTTCACCAAGTCTGCAATTTCTCTTAATATAGCAGTTCATTTTACTTAGGATTTTGTGATACTGGAATCTTTATCAAAGTGCTTTATCAAAGCAGTTCCAAGACTTTTGTTCTCACAGAGCCCCCTCAGTTTGACTGTACACTTGAATATTGCTTTGAATTGCCATCCAGGGAGCTGTAGTTACGATCTACTCCAGGTACTGACGTCATGTTGGATCGATGGATATCTCAGTGTGCAATGAGGCAGGACTTAAATAAAATTTTTAAAAAGAAAGGGTTGTTTGGGGGTCATTTCACTGATGTGCTGTTTGCCTTTTCCTCGCAGCATAAAGGAGTGCCATGGGTTGCCTCTTATAAACGGACAGAACTGTGACCCTTACGCAACAGTCTCTCTTGTGGGGCCTTCCAGGTAACATTTCAGCGGGGAATGAATCAACCTAAAATGCTGTGATTTTTGAATTGCAAAAGAAGGTCGTGGGTTTTGAGCAAAAGCTTTAAAACAGAAAAACCTTGAAACATCCCCTCTTCCACTGGCACTGTTCTTCCACCTTCCCCACCGTCACCTCAGGGCTGGGACGGTGTTTGGTCTGTCTGACTGGCCTGCACCGCTCAAGAACCTCTTGGCACTCAGTTCTTTCTTAGGTTTCTTGATTTCTGCACTGTGCTCCCTATTAATTTCTGTAAAATTCCCATATGGGATGATGCAGTGAATTGCTTACCTTCCCCTCTTCCTTGTTTTTCCTGATGTGGGAGTTTCCTCACAGCCAATGTTGAGCAGCTGGGGGGTAGTCGATGTTCTGGAACCCCTGCAGGCCCCCAGAGTTCAAATGTCTCCCTGTTTTGGATCAGTAATCCTGAATAACTGCCGGGGTTTTCCATTTAAGAACCATCCCACTTCCCACACATTCACTCTCTGCAAGTCCCTGCCCCATAAACAAGCCTAAGTTTCCTTTGCTTCTTTTCTTGCAACGTGAAGCTTTAGTCCCTCTGCTCTCTGCAGTGCTAAGGAATTGCCCCTGTGAGCACAGGACCAGAACATCTTCCAGCAAACTTGTTTCTTTCAAGGATTGTGGAAGGGTTGTCCCTGAGCAAGCCCTGCATGGGGCATTTTTTCCTCTTTGGTAACACGTGATCACATTTTTTTTTAGGTTTGCCTTGGGGTTCTTTTTGGTAGGGTCTTTTGGTTTGATTTGGCTGTTTGGGTTTTTCTTGTGCCCATGATCCCTGGGGGAAGCTTGGGGCTGATTGCCAGAGAAGGAGGATTGACACATATTTGCTGTTTGAGCCCTGTGATGTGGGTGGAAGTGGGAGAACGTTGGTCCCACAGAATATTTGACCTGTTGGTGTAGGAATATATGTGCAAATGTGACAGAAATTCCTGGTTAAGATTTTCCAGTCTCATGCACGTGTGACTCACATACCATGACTGGAATATTTATATGCCTGAAAACAGGTAGTTGATACATTCTTCTCCCTTATCTGTTTTTCCTCACATTTTATATTTGGGTTCCTTTTAAAAAGCGTTTTTATACTATCACAGGCCTTTGCTAAATAAAAAAACAAACCCTGTATTCTTTTATAAAATTTGTAAAATTAAAAACCAAACTCAACCCCCAAGGAAGGGGGGAGCAGTTGTTTTGTTTGACACTGGCAGTGATTGCTTTCCAAGAAAACCTCCAGTCCTGGGTAAGCCTTTATCTGTAAAGAAGTGGTGGGTATTTCCCCAACAGAAGAGGGTGGGGAAAAACAGAAGTTGCAGTAGAACAAGATGGGGAAAAGCTTGTAAACTGCAGGCAGTTTTCAATTAATTTAAATTTTAAATGCATTAAAAATTGTTGGTATATTTTAATGATGTGTCTAAGTTTTATTAGTTTGTGAAATTAAATGCAAACTTTGAGTTGGATAGATGCAGAATTAACTGGATACAATATTTCCAATTTTAGCTCTTCAAACTATATCGTGAAGATGAATTAATTATATTTTAAGAATTTTCCTCTCTTTCTAAAATAACAAAAAATGTGCTAGCTTAAATGACTGGGTCCTTCTTGAGGGCAGAATGTCTTTATAATTGTGTGTTGAAGTTGTCTATGGTAAAAATGTTACCATATTGGAACAGGAATGACCAAAAGAAGACCAAAGTCAAGAAGAAAACGAGCAACCCGCAGTTTAACGAAACCTTTTATTTTGAGGTAACTTTTTGTGTGGTTTTCTCCCTGTCTTATCTGTTTTGTGCAATCCCTCAAGTATTTTTAAGGAAGCTCTTCAGTGAAGAGCTTTTACTCTCAGATGGAAGTGCATGACATACTTAAATTTCTATCTGCCAGACAATGGCACTGCCCTTCAATTGCTGTGTGAAAAATGACTTCCTCACGAGCACCTGTGTGAAGGTAATTCATTATCTGGAATTACCTGCTGCCATCAGTAGTTCTGAGACAGCTTTAACCTGTCCTGTGGAATTCTAGTCAAATATTTTCCAGAAGATTGAGTTAAAAAATCCGAACAACTTACATCTTTAATGAAGTAGTGTAGTGATTATACCCCCCAAAAAAAGTTTATTTTATTTTAAAAAAAGTTAACATTGTTATTATTTAGGAGTTGGTTTAATTTTATAGAGGTTATCCTACAATAAATTATGAGTTTAAATTTTCATCTGATTTGTCTTGGTGGTTATAACTCTATTTTCATTTAAGCATGCTACACTGAGAGTTGGGAGGAGTACAGCTGTTACACATGCCTCAAATGTACTGTAATTTACTGTGTTTTGTGTGGAGTATCAACATCTGGTGTGTGTCTCAGTTACCTGAGTGTCATTTCCTGGGAAGGAAGATGTTAGGATAAAAATGTGCTCCAAACCACCCTGCTAACTTCATGACTTCTGATGGGTTGGATGGAATGGAGATTGCAGACAGTGTGATAGAACTGGGGCGAGAAGAATGGACTGCTAATTTGTTGTTCCTTTAAACCTTCCAGAACTAACTCCAGTCCTTTCTTGGGGCTTATGCTAAAACCAAAGAAATCATGTCCTGCTCCTTGTTTTTCCTAACACATCTCTCCTGTGACTCCCTGAGATGTCAGCCAGCCCTTCTTGCCCCATTTTTCACCTGCTTTCTGGCAAAAGGCACTTTGGTCAATAGAGCTTTCTCCTTTTTAGAAGGAACAGTAATTATTTCTCTGTGTTAGAGGTAGGGTTTTCTTTGATTTTTGACATTTATAATATATCAGGAAAAAAATGTGTTAATAGGAGGCATTTCCTTGCAGGTGACCAGGTCCAGCAGTTACACCAAGAAGTCCCAGTTTCAGGTGGAAGAAGAAGATATTGAGAAATTAGAAGTCAGGTAAGTCATGTGGATTAGAAAGTGCTTTCATAGAATCATTAATAAATCACAGTATTTCATCGTTGAGACAAGAAATATGTTTTATCTTAGAGTAGCTCCAGAGAATTGCTGATCAGACTTGCAAATACTCCAAGTTTGGTCCCCTTTTCTGCTCCTCTACCTTCAGAGCAGCTGTGTCTGTGTTTATTCAGTGTAGTCAGAACAGCTGAGAGCCTGACTGTGCTCCTGCACATCCATGCACCAAACCTGCTGAATGACAAAGCTCTCCAAGGCCAGCATGTTTGGGCATCAGGAGAATTTAGCAGTTAATTTTAATAGCCATCATAGAACTAACTCAGTACGTTGATTTTAGTTATTAACTATTAGCTTAATTCATTAGAATTGTGTATTTCTTTATAGATATAAATATATTTAGAAAAAACAATCATACCCCAACAAATCTAGTTGTCTTTTGTTTTCTTTTGTTTTTGTTTGTTTTGTTCTTAACACCTGCTGTCTGTCAGAAATGTCAGAGAGGTAAGAAGTGACAGAACAAAGCCAGGGTGCATGTCTGGAGTGGTTCCTTTGCAGGGTGTGAGCGTCCGAGCTGCTGCTTGGACAGACAAGAGCATGTGTTGGGGTGGCCTTGCAGTGTGCCAGGGTCTGGCAGGCAGACAGAGATGTAAATACACAGTTTAAAAGTTCACTGGAATTACCTCTGAAGAAATGTGCACAGTTTTGGGGGTGGAGGCTGCTCAGAACCCGTCCATATTGCCAGTGTCACTTTAATTTACTGATGCAAGGTCTGCAAGTCTAACTTTCACTGATTGTTTAGCTGTTCTTCGTGGGTTAGTCAAAGCCACTTGTTTGATTCTTCTTGATTTGTTCAGAATGGAGTGAGATTTCTAACATTTGCTGCCTGCATGCATGTGGATTAGTGCTGTAAGGCAGTTATTGTTAATTTATTTCTCTCTGGGGGAAAAGAAAATCAAACCATGTTCTCATTTTCAGGGTTGACCTGTGGAATAATGGGAATCTGGTACAAGACGTCTTTCTAGGAGAAATTAAAGTTCCTGTGAAGGTGTTAAGAAATGATTCCTTTCAAGCATGGTGAGAAATGCTGGTTCAGAAGTCAATTTGCTTGTCTTGCACATTTTCCCTTGCAAAGGCTGTGCTTTATTCTCCCTATCCATTAAACTGTGTCTTGCTGTTGTAGTCAGGGCAAAACATGTTTTTAGAGTTTCCCTGCTAAGTTAACCTTGCCAGAGGGTGCATTTGGCTCTTCTCTTCCCCCTCTGCCCAAGGTCACAGAAGAATTGGTGTGCTGGAGGGGCAGGTGCAGAGGGGGAGGACTGAGTGTAACCATTTTTTTGGTCAGCTTGCTGGATGTACAGATTTTTCAGCCTAACCTGCCAACTTGGGAGTTTCTCAGAATTGAATCACTTACAATTAAATTTCTAAGTTGGACTTTCAGAATGACTGATGAAGAGTTTATTTAATCCTTGAAGTATGGCTTTTTTTCTCCCTTGGGGATGTTCTAGAAGCACCTTCTGGAACTGACCCAACATAATTTCAGGGAAGCAGGCCCAGAAGCTGGAAGGGTAAGGTATGAAGGGAATTTAGGGAAGAAAGACTTCAGCTGGTAACACAGCAGCAATCTCCCTTCTGACTTTCCTGCAAGCAGGAACCCATCCCTCACCCTGTGCTGTCCCAAATGCTCAGCAGCAGGAAGTGATGAGGGCAAGAGATTTGAGTGCCTCAAAGTGTGTAGAATATTCTGCTTTCAGTGAACCTTCCTCTACAGAAGGAAGCCTGGAGGGAGCCCTGGTGTGTGCACATAGAAAATGCACAGGAAGGAAGTGGGGAGATGGGAATGAAGGGTAACACAGGCCTTGGCTGTGCTCTGTGTACCCACCTCAGGCCCTGAATGTCCAAGCTGAACTCAGAGTCTCGGTGTTTGGCTGTGATCCTGAGCAGAATAAACCTTTGTGCTGGGAGTTGCTGGTTCTTACCCAGTGTGTTGCAGACACAGACTCGTTCTGCCAGTGCTCTGATGGACAGCTGTGTGGCCATGTTAACATAATGACATTGCTCTGTTAACCACCTGCCAAGAGAGAGATTCATCAGCACCGGCTCGTTACCAGTGTGTTGAGTTTGGGGAGCTCTTTGGATTGGCCTGACTCACACCGAGTTCACTGGAAGGATTGGTAGATAGAGTGGGTTGTGTCTGCTAATAACCTTGCACTGAACATCCCCACATCCAGCTGTGATCTGCTTAGCAAAACCAGTTCTGGGATTAAAAAGAACTGATTGTTTATACGCTTACTAATTTGCATAATCTGTTTTTGAGTGTGGCCCAAGTACAGCACATAAAGCATTAGCACTACTTCTAAATATTGGGAAAATAAGCCTAAGAGTCATGCTGTTGAGTAGAGGTTCTCCTGGTAAATCAGTTTTACTTTGTTATTACCTTGCCTTCATGGGCACTGCATCTGATTATGAAAAAAAAAGGCAGTCTGATCTCTGGATCGTGGAGGCACAAACACACCTGACTGTAAAAGCATACCTGAAGGCAGGATTGCAGTTTGTTGGGGCCGATGTTGTTCTGTGACACTGCTTAAAAGCTGGTAAAAGTTTTGTGTGGCTGCACCTCCTGTTGGAGCAGAGTGGAACTGCAGCAAAAGCCAGTGAAGAATTGTTTTACTGTGTTTTGTATTAAGAGAGCAGAAAAACACCCACTTTTTTCCTTTATCCTGTTTCTCAAGAATGCAACCTGCTAATATTATGTATTTTTCCTTGTTTCAGACTAGAGCATTTAAATTCTTTACCTGGCTGTTCCATCTGCAGTGTCCAACACCCTCAATTTAACCTAGATGTGAAATGAGATGGTCCAGTGTCATTCCTGCTATTCCAACTAGGCTAAAAAAAGTATAGCCTATTTCCCTGTTTGGAAAGAGAGGAGAAGATAAATGGAAATTTCAGTATGTGCTGAAGATGTATTAAGTGCTGCTCAATATTTTTTCTTTTGTGCCTCATTTTTTCACCAGTTTTCAGACTTAGTGTGTGCCTACTGAAATAATTGGGATAGTTGATTGTAGAATTAGTCAAATGAATGAGATGGGAATGTAATGTTTTAGAATTGCCCTGTTGCTTACAGGTACTTACTGCAACCCAAAGAAAATGGAAACAAGTCTTCTAAAACGGATGATTTGGGATCACTTAGATTAAATATCTGTTACACTGAAGACTGTGTCCTTCCATCTGAATACTACACTTCCTTAAGGAACCTGCTGCTAAAATCTTCAGATGTTCAGGTACTTTTTGGAAAATTCCTTTAAAGTGAAAACTTCAAATGAATTAGGCAGTCCTGTGTGAGATACGAGTATGAATTACTCGTATCCAGATAATTGGGTTTGTTCCTTTGAGGTAATCACTTCTGTCACACCCAGATGAGCAGCTGGTAGAGCTTTTACTTCTGCAAAGTACCAGGATGTTCTTCTTATTTTAGAAGAGCTGGCAGAGGCAGTGAAATGACCTGTGCTGTGTGGCTGGAGGAGATAAAATACTTGTGTTAGTTGCTCTTTTCGACACTGTGTTTTTCCACTGGCTGCTATTGGCTTCCTGGATTTAGAGGTTTTCCAGGGACATTGATCCCTTATTGGCACTGAAGAGGCAGATAATTAAAAAAGATGGTCTGCTTCAGAAGTTGTTTTTAATTCTAGTTCTGAATTGCTTCTGCCTTCCCCAGCGTGTTGATCAGCATGACTGGATTTCTCCACATGGACACGGTGACAGAGAGGGAGATGGTTTGTGTAACACTGGGACAGGAATCAAATTAGAGTAGCCAGGCTTGATATTCTTAGGTCTTTTATAGCTTTTCATCCCTTCAGTGTTAGTGAAGTACTGGCAGAGGAGAAGAGGGATAAAGAGGAGGGAGATGTGACTGAAGTTTTTGCTGGCCCATGTTCAGAGACTGCTCCGATGGAATTCAGGAGTAGCTGAGTATGTAGGCAGTGGCAATCAGCAGCTCTCTTTCCTACTTACATGAAATATTTTGGTTTTGCATTGAAATTCCCAACTGTACAGTGACAACAGACACTTCAGAAGTGTGGGAACTTCTGATGTCCCCTGATTAGAGTTTTAAAAGTCCTATGAAGATACATGACATTATAGCAGAGCAATTGCTTCCTGCCTCTTACTTGCATTTGGGACAAAGCCATACTCTGAGCCTTTAGGGAGAAGGAGAAGGGTGAGGACCTGCTGAATTCCATTCTTAAATGTCAATTAGAGTGGATAATACCAATCTTCAATGAAGTAACTCTGCAGAACGGAAGCTTTTAATTGCCACGTTACACAGCAAATGTTGAAACTTTCTGTCAGGAAACTGTGTCTGTGGTCAGGTTAGATCTGATCTGCACTTTGTCAGAAGCATAAAAACACTGAACTCCTTCACTCATGGTTTCATACTCTGCTCTCCCAGCCCATTTCTGCATCCGCTGCCTACATCCTGAGCGAGGTGTGTCGGGACAAGTACGACGCCGTGCTGCCCCTCGTGCGACTCCTGCTGCACCACCACAAGCTGGTCCCCTTTGTTGCTGCAGTGGCAGAACTGGATCTGAAGGACACCCAGTATGTATTTCGTGCTGATTCATTTCATGCCTCCTAACATTTTTCTTCAGGGGGCTTCGTGACACGACACTGATAAGTAAGAGTGTTGGTTTGTCTCTCTCACTGTGTAAAACTGACTAAAGACATCCATCTTTTAATGCTGGTTTATGAAAACATTCATTAAAATCACTTTGAAGTCGGGGGTCAGAGTTAATGGTTGTGTGCAATTTGTAATGTTTTGTCTAAGAGCATATAGTTTTTATTTTAAAAAATTCAACCACTCTTCGAATTTTCCTGGCCATTGGATACAGACTTAGATGGATCTGATTAAATGGAACATTTTTTTAAATTGCTAAGAATCTTATCCTGTTTCTTCTAATATGTGACTTAAATGAGAGCTGCTGTTTTTCTGCAGAAATTCCTTGTAATTAAGAACGTGTCCAAGTCGTGGTGTGTGGGCTGTGAATTTGCAGTTCTGTGGTTAGGGGGGACATGAAGAAGTAGCAGCAGCCACTGAGGTGCCGGGTCATGGCCAGTGGAGGTGTGGAAGGGATTCTGTCAGCACAGGACAGTTCAGTTCCAGGCTGGCTTGCTCTTGATTTAAATAAGGTGAGGCAGCTGAACTCTGCAGAAGGAGGTGACTCACAGGAACTGATTTTCTAAACTGCACTTTAGTGCACACATTCCACTGTAACTGAGCTGTGACAAAGAAAGCTTCAACTAAATCCCTCAGATTAGGAAGATACACTTTGCACAGCTGGCTCTCGGTTTTCTTCAACAGCTCTGAGGAGTAAAAAGCCTAAATCTGGATTAAATATGTTCTGGTGTAAGTGTCAGAGTTTATTGGTGTGCTGTAGCAGTGTTTATTGTAGCTCTAAGGTTTTTCACACCATGACTACTGGAGGAGGAATTGTGCCTTAGTGAGGTACAACCTCCTTTATTTCGGAGTTTTCTCTGATTGTGCTTCATCCCATTCTGCAGACTGCACTGCAACTCCCATTGTCTGAAACGTCTTAGGATTTTTCTTAGGGTTTTATTTACATTTCTGGCTTTGGTAGTAGCTGTAATAACATTCTTGTTTATTCTCTTTCTGTTCCTGCCCTTGCAAGCTCAGTATCTCGGTTCTGGGGTTTCTGACTGAAATACATGAAAAAATATTTTTAAAAATGTTATGTAACAGCAAGATGAAGTATTAATTGAATTTTGTAGCCGAACTTCTTATTTTTATCCCTGTTGAAGTAAAAATCAATTCTTTTCTTTACAGAGAAGCAAACACAATCTTCAGAGGCAACTCATTAGCAACTCGGTGTGTAGATGAAATGATGAAAATAGTGGGGAAGCACTACCTGAAGGTTACTTTGAAGCCTGTTATTGATGAGGTAAGTTATCCTACCAGAACTCTTGTCAGGACACTCAGCCCTCGGGGCTATCCTGTCTCGTTGATAAACATTCTGCTTTGAGCTCTGTCTGTGGTAGGAATGGCTCTAGTTGTGTTTGTTTGTTTGTTTCAGATCTGTGAGTCTCCCAAGCCCTGTGAAATAGATCCCATCAAACTAAAAGAAGGGGATAATGTAGAAAGTAACATGGTGAGTTTCCTCATTGATTTTTTACTAATTTGAATTTTCTCAAAATCTGAGATGAAAGCGTTTTAAAAGCAGCTCTTTGTGATGGAGAGTGATTAACTTAGAGTAGCAGTGTAATTCTCTGATTTCAGAGTAAACATAGAGAAGGCTGTATTTCCTTATCCCTATTTATGAAGACAGCAATGGAAAACTCCAGTGGAAAACAGGATGGGATGGAGAAGCTAAAGAAGATTAGTCTTTCTTACCAATTTTTGGGGTGTTTTGATTCCTGATGTTCTGTGCTCAGCATCTAGATTAGGATGTGCCTAATAAGAACTGCTTTAGCATTTTTTATTGAAGTTTTGCTTGCTGCTTGCCTGTTATTAGAGGACGATAATGTTTAATTTTTAGTCGCTGCAACAAGTTAATATTCACCTGGTATACATGGGAAGTGCTCCTTCCTTGTTGTCAAATTACAAACCAGATACTGATATATAGTTATATATTGCCAGACAGTGCTTATATACTGTAATGTAAGTGAATATAACGAAATTATCTTTTAACACTAGTAATGCCATATAAACATGATGAGACTTTTAAAATATGCACTGTGCTAAAACTCAGAGTTGAATAGTCAGGCAGTGTTTGGAAAGCAAATCACTGTAGTGTTATAACACAGAAACGTGGCTGTTGATGGTCTGACAGCAGTGCCTGTGCTCACACCTGCAGGACAATCTCCGCTACTACGTGGACAAAGTGTTCCGGGAAATCGTGCAGTCCAGTATAAGTTGTCCCACCCTCATGTGTGATGTTTTTTATTCCTTGAGGCATCTGGCTGCCAAAAGATTTCCAAGTAAGTGTTCTCTCAAAACCTTTGGAAGTGGTGTTCGGAGGGAAACTTCACTTCTGCAGTTACCACGTGGGGATTGTTGAAATCCTTGCCTTGCCTAAAGCTGGGCCCTGAACTTCTTCCTTTGCAGTCAGGCATTGGTTGGTCTGTGAGTTGTAGTGGAGCTTCGTGGTCACTCAGCAGGACACAAAAATGCAGTGGGTCAGAAATTGCAAATGAGAAGTTACCAACAAAAGTATGAGATAATAGAAGAAAAGCACAGGAATAGAAGAATAATAATAGAATAGTACTAATAGAATAGAAGAATTGTACAGGAAGTGATATATTTGAGAGTTATTTGTAGGAGCTGTTCTGTTTATTGCTTCCAAAGAAGCAAGATGTGCACCTGAAAATAAATTCCCCATTTGCACCTTTACATGAACTGCCACTCTGCTAAGTGTGACCAGCACATCCATAATTTTCTGAGGTCAGCTTTCCTACTGCTATAGCTGTACTACTTATGGGTAGTTTTGAGGAGGGGGATAATAAAAAAATATTTAATGGGTTTGTAAACATGACCCATATTAGAACAACTTTATCCTTTCAGAATAGTTTTAATGTGGGAATAATGGGGTAGGTCTGAGATACTCTTCCCCTTGAGTCAATTAAAATCTGCAATGTCATGTAATAAGCTACAGGTGAAGAATGTGCTTCTCATAACGTGGGACATTTCTCTGGTTCGTGTTTGTCACTGATACTGAAGCCAGGAGCTGCTCTGGTTTAGTCAGTCTTTTTTAGAACAGCTAACTTCCCAGGTCAGGTTCAAGTGGTCATTAGAGTAAGAATGTGATCCCACTCTATTTCCCAATGTAAAAGTCTAAATATACTCATAATATTTAATGAAAAATCCTCACTTACACTATCAAAATGATAGAATACCATGGGTTTATGAAGCAGTTGAGAACTGGAATTAAACTTGCTCCTACGTGTTGACTGTTTGTCGTGAAGCACTGATGTGTTTGAGTTGCTGTGTCAGGAGCTTTGCAAGGGTGGTAAATCCAGCAGCCCCAGCGTTCGGAGGCACCTGCTGCAGTGTTTTTAATCTGCTCTCAGCATGCAGCCACCCCTCATGAACACTGTGGGTGTAAATGCTTGCAGCCATCGCATCACTCCTGGCAGTGGAGCCGGTTGTATGGGAACAGAACTTCCCAGAGAAACAAACCCTCTGTTATAAGCAGAACATTTCTCGCCACGATCACCTTCCCATTCCACGCACGCCATCGATTCTCCTCCTCTATTTTGAGATGTAAATGTCTCCTCTGATGTTACCTCCTCCGGGGTTTTTATGTTAACTGTCTTCCTGGTTTCCTGTTGAGTTCAGTGCATGTTACATTTCATGGTTTTTCTCTGCAGATGACCCTCATGTGCAGTACTCTGCAGTGAGCAGCTTTGTGTTTCTCCGTTTCTTTGCTGTAGCCGTAGTCTCACCTCATACTTTTCATTTACGACCTCACCATCCCGTAAGTTTCGTGGAGCTTTGTTCTGTTTTATTCCCGCCCTCAGAGCTGTGGATGTGGGAAGGCCTGAGTTACTCTCAGTGGGTCTGAGTGGGAAATGAGGTGACTGAATGTCTCTGGGTTCAGTTTCTGAAGGAAATAAACCATTTGCAGTTCTTTGAGCACCTGATTTTTCAGCCTTTCTGGGCTGTCCTGAAATGATGTGGCAGAGCTGTTAAAATAATAAAGATGCTGTGCCTTTTTCAGGAATGTGCTTCCTGGTTAAAATAGCAACGTGACTGAGGGTTCTCGAAGGTCTAGGCCTCAACTGCATCAGTTCCTTCCACCAAGGAGCTTAAATATCCACGTCACTTTTTTATTTATTTCCATTTGTGGCTTCAGCAGAGGTTGCAGATGATAATAATTGATTGGTGTATTTATTCTGGACTCCTCTGGTTGCAATGGGTTGCCACATTTTCCATTTTTGGTTGTCGAGTAGATACATGTAACAAAAAATGTTCAAAGACAGGAATGTGGAGATTAAAAAACCTGTATTTTTCACATGAAATACAGAACATATGTGAGATCTGCTTCTGAGGTTATCCTTATTAGCTTATTTTATCTACTTAATGCGTGTTGTGCTTTCAAAAGAAAAAAAATATACTTACTCAAGTTAATTCCTTTGATTATCCAGTTTGTTGAGTAAAAAAAAAATTAGAGTATTTTAACACCTGAGGGTTAAAGATTTGAAGGAAACAGCAGGGGACTGGGTTCATAATCCTGTACTAAAATGCAAGCAATGAGGTAGCAAACAAATTAAGAAAGAGCCTTAAAGACACCATTTTAGATTCATTTTGTGTTATGAAAATTGATACCATTTGTCCAGCAATCGTTCCTAATGTTTATTGTTAGATGTGTAGTAATGATTACAGGATTTGAGGGGTTTGAGGTGTTTTATAGGTAAAAATATTTTTCCAAGTGCTAATATTAAATTCTAGTGATAGTGAGGAAAATATTAAGCAGTATGCAATAGTTTAGAAACTATATAATCCTTCAGATGCATTTTTTTTCTCTTGGGGCAAAGGAAAGGAATGAAAATGTGTCAGATTTACAACGTTGTGTGATACAGTCATTTTTGTGACATGTTCATTTTCAATTTTACCTGAAATTTTGAGAAAAATGTGACTTCTGAACCTTGTTTCTTTGTTTCAGGATGCACAGACTTCTAGAACATTAACTCTCATATCCAAAGCCATCCAGACTTTGGGCAGCTGGGGAAGTTTGACCAAAAGCAAACTTGTAAGGCTGCTAAAATTCTTTCTTAATTCCTGGACATGCTGAACATTCTGTGCAGGTTCATTTATGCCAATATACCTTTTCTTTATACCTTTTCTTTCAGTCAAGTTTCAAGGAGACGTTCATGTGTGAGTTTTTCAAAACATTTCAAGAAGAAAAATTTACGGAATCTGTTAAAAAGGTACCTTTCAACTCTCTGTTTTTTTAATGGTTGGTGTATTTGATCAGCCTTCATTATTAGAAGGTTGTGTTATTGTTCAGTTTTCTGTTGGACAGCAAAAGAAAAGTTGTGGTCCCTTTCAGACTGTAAACACCCCAAAAAATAACAGAGCAAAGTCAGCACAGTCAGAGTCATACTTAGCAAATTAAGCTAATTTGGTTTAAAAAATATACTTTTTTTTGAACCAGACTTGATTGGCTCTGCTGTTCAGGGAATAATTAAAGCAAGCTTGTGTGGCTGGTGGGCATCCCTTGTTGCAGTCCCTGCCATCTGTTTCCATCTGCTGCACAGAGTAATTGCTCTGTTCCAGGACAAACTGGACCTGTGTGTTTTCAAAGCAGCTTTTGGTTTTTTCTGTGTTTCTGAATATATTCCCTGTATTTTTTTTCCCTTAAGTTCCTAGATGACGTTTCCTCTACTGAAAGTAAAGAGCCAAGTGGTCTGAGTGAGCCAGTGCATCTCAAAGAAGGGTAAGTACATCTGCAGTCTGCATCGTGTGACAGAATTGACTTTGCTGTGTCTTCACTAATAGCAGTGTCAGGTTAAAGCTGGTTAAAATGTGTAAGAGACTGTTGGAATTCTGATATCTGTAATTTAAGATATCTCTTTATTATTTTGAAGAATTGGTTTAAAAGAAGAGCTGTAAACTTTGCTAACACATCTTTTGGGAAAACAGTAATTAACTTTGGGAAATAACTTTTTGGGGGAAAAAGTAATCAAAAGCAGCTTAAAACCTCTTAAAAACTGCCTGCATTACTGACACAGTCCAGTGTGTGCTGTGTGATGGTTTACTGAGGATTGCAAAAGTGTATTTTAAAAGAATGTATTAATTTAGTATTACTCTATATGCTGTTTAAGCCCAGCCAGCTAAATGTTCTACATTTAAAGTAGGAGAAAAGATTACCCTATAATTGAAATACTGTGTCTTCACAGAGAAATGTACAAAAGAGCTCAGGGGAGGACTCGGATCGGGAAAAAGAATTTCAAGAAGCGGTGGTTCTGTTTAACAAGCAGAGAATTCACATACCACAAACAGCAAGGTAATTATGTTTATTTTACTAATACTTTGATTTTTCAGTGTTTTCTAGGTGTTTGCATCTAATTTGTGTTTTTAGAAAGGCATCATCTTCTTCTTTTCCTAAAATACCTCTGATGTATTTTAGTTCCCTTTGCCTTGATTAAGAAATGCTTCTCTCTGATTCATGTCTGTTTTCTCAATAAAAATGCATATTTTGGGAGTTTGACCTGCAATGTCAGTTCTAAAACAGTTCTTACAGATTGCTTCACTCTTCTGTTTACAATTTTTTACAGATAAAGAACCAATTTTCACTATTCCGATCAAAAACATCCTTGCAGTGGAGAAACTTGACGAGAACTCCTTCAACAAGAAAAATGTGGGTCAAAAGATAGTTTGTGTGTAATTCTTGATGTGTTACTTAAGTAAAAGATCATAATTAGCTTACAGAGTTAATGAAACCCCATTACCAAGCACCTCAACACAAAGTCTTTTGAATGGCTCAAGAGTAAGAAGCTGTGCAGGATCTCCAGGTACTCTGAACGTGGTTTACCTGGAAATAGGGAAATCTGCACCAACTTTTCTGACTGATTCTGGCTTCTTGCCAAATTTCTGGAATGAAGGTTGAAACTACAGGACCTTATTACAGAGCACTTTTAATTACATTATGTTCTACTAGATATGCATTATTGCCAAACTTGTATTCATTCCTTTCAGTGGGAACTCCTTTCAGTACCCTCATCAGCTCCCACGGTTGTCTGTGCTCACAGCCTCACTCTGGTCCTGTAACATATCAGTTATTTCTGTTATTTCAATCCAAAGTTCTGAGGCACTGATAAAAGTTGATAAAAGCACAGCTTACAAAGAGAGACTCTTGGGAATCTTCTGTTGCTCTTGAGACAGGGAGGATAAAGCTCGTGCTTTGTGAAATCTGGGGCCACACTTAAAGATTCGTAAATGAAGAGGACAGAAAATGCATCGTGTCCCAATTCTTTAGGAACTCTTGTTTGGATGAGGAAGTGGTGTGGGTGGAACACAGGGAGCTGTTTGGGTGGGGTTTTTCTCCTAGGTAGGTCTGTGTGGTTGGAAGAGGTGAATGTCTGCCATTCTCCCTTGTCTGGCTTTCTGTCTCAGTTTGACGTTGTTGCATTGCCTGAGCTTTGAAATCTCTTTCATCATACTCCAAGTTTCTCAATAACTGGCTGTTTTTACTGAGCAGGATCACGTCGTGTTTCTCCTCCAGATGTTTCAGGTCCTTCACGGGGAAAAGCCGCTCTATATCCAGGCCAATAACTGTGTGGAAGCCAGCGAGTGGATCGAGGCTCTGTGCCGGGTCACGAGGTGCAACCAGAAGAGGCTGAGCTTCTACCACCCGTCAGCGTTCCTGAACGGGAGCTGGCTGTGCTGCAAGGCCACCGTGGAGAGCAGCGTGGGCTGCGCGCGCTGCACCGCGTGAGTGGCTCCTCAGGGACAGCGCTGGGGCTGCGGGAACGGGGGATTCACCGCACGGCTTGGGGAGGTGAAAGCCAGGCTGTCCCTGGGCACCTCACCAGCTGTGTGCTGAAAAGACGCCTTTGGAAGGCACAGAGTGCAGATTTCAGTGAGTCTGGTGCTTTGTCAGCCGCTGTATGAAATGAAGGTGATCAGTTCAGCGTGGAAATCACACATGTCCAGTGCTTGGTTTCTTCTCCTGCAGAATAGCAGATTTAATTCAGATGGCTGAGTGCAGAAGTAGGATCATCTGTATGAAATAATCAAAATACTGTGCTGCAGAGAGTTCAGCATGGAAGTGTTCCCTCTCTATCAACTTTGTTTTGTGCAGCCACTTTTTTATTTGAACCTCACGTTTTTTAAAAGTGTGTTAAGCAAATCAGCTAAATAACCTTGGACGTAGATTCTGATACATCATTTGGGTTTTTCTCCGTTGGGTAGATATGTCAGAAAAATGAATAGCATCTTGCATAATGCTTTAATGCCTTTCTGTCAGCTGCTGATTTCAGAAAACAAAGAAATGCTTTGATCTTTTTTTTAAAACAAATTTATCCTCAACTGGATAGGTTGCATAAATTACAGACTGTTTTGTGAAGCTGTGTGGGAGTGATAAGTATATTAAAAGGCTGTGTATATTGAAAGAGAATTGGTTTTTACTTGCTTTCAAGAATTATCTGTATTGACTACCTGTCTCTTTGTTCACCTTTTAGAGATGTTCCTGCCGATACGCAAATTGAGATTGATGGAGACAGAGAGACAGAAAGAATTTACTCACTTTTCACTATCAACAGGTCTAAACTACAGAAGCTGGAAGGTACTCAAATGATAATTTAGAAGAATTATTCAGCTCTAATTCTTTAGGCCTATAACATCATTTTGTCTAAACAATTTACCTGAAAATAACAAAGAGAGAAGGAGCTTGCATTCCTGTCTTCTCAGCGTGCTGGTGTCTGACACTCTTCAGTCAGTTCTTTGCAGTAGGTGTGAGCTGTGCACACTGTTTATTGCATTTCCATGTCTGTGATACCGTCAGTGGTCTGAGCAGACACTGCAGCTGTAGCAGGTTGTCCTTGTGTCTTTGCTGTCCCTTTGCTGGCGCTGTGGTGAGTTCTGTTAACGTGGCTGAGCTGCAGGAAAGCGTTTTGGACTCCTGTTAGTGTGAGGAGCAGAGAGCTGGATGCTCAGGGTGGTGAACACGACTAGCAGAGAGTAACCCACACAACTGGCAATACACCCAGTCCATGCTGTTCCTGCTGTCATCTTCATCCATTCTGTGTATAAACCAGAGCAACTTCACCTGTCAGAGTGCTGGAATTACCATTTCTGTGAGAGCTGGCTGTGTTTGCTGGTTGCTAAGTTCTAACTGGGGTGACTGTGGTGGTTTCTGCAGAGGCCTGTGGGAGCATAGCGGTCTACCAAGGTCCACGGAAAGAGCCTGACGATTACTCCAACTTCACCATCGAAGACTCCGTGGCAACTTTCCACACCCTGAAGCAGATAATAGATGTGGTGGAAAAGCTGAATGAATCCCATGAAAAATACCAAAAGAAGAGATCCTCCAGTGCCAAATATGGTAGTGAGTAAGTATCTTGTGGAATTCTGACACAGGTAAATGTGTATTTTGGGGAAAAAAAATCACAGAACGAGGTTAGGCTTGTTGGGGTAGAGATGATGAACATAAAGGAAGAGTTAGACCACACAGACACGGAGAAAATCAGGTGCATCATTTGTAGTAGTGCAGCTTTGTAGCAGTTAGAAGGTACAAGTTCTTGTGTGGGATTCATCTGCATTCCTCTTGAGATTCCTCTAAGTGGGTGCAGTGACTGCTTCCTTGCAACTCAACACCTGAAGTGCACCCACAATTTATCCCTGACTATATTCCTACCTTCTAATTTATTTTTTTTTCCAAAATTTTGGATAAGAAACAGTTGAAATATCAAGTGATGTGAAACTGTAAAAATTACCCTGCAGAAACATCTCTTTCAGGCAGGATGTTTGTATTTCACTTGCTGCAGTCAATGATAAACACAATTCCTGGGGAAGTTAAAATAAAAACCAACACCTGTTCTTTGGAGTACTTTGTTGTTCCAGAGCATTCTTTAATTCTCTTCAGTCCTGGTTTATGTCTGGGCAACAGTATAGCAACTTTTCAGATTTCTTCTTTGCATCAACAAGGATTGATTCACCAGGAGGAAAGAAAAACCAACAAAGCCAAAGTTCAAACCCCAGTCTGGTTGGTTTAGGTTGGTGTTTGACCCAGGTTGTTCAGAAAAATTGATTTTGATTTAGAGGTCTTCTGTGAAAGTAAATGAGCATTTTGCAAATCGTGGAATTTCACAATTAATGGTAGAGTTATTTTTTTAAATACATTAAAATAGTATGCTGAGAACTAGAAAGAAAGTATTAACCTTGAAAATATTAACATAAAATATTTTAATTTTTTTTGCAGAGAAAATCCAATTGTTGGAAAAGTTTCCTAACGAACTGTGGCACACTTGGATGAAAAAAAACCAACCTGGAAATGTTCTAGAGCATTTTGGGGTTTTTTTGTTTCATTTTTTTGGGTTTTTTTTCTAATTCATTATCAGCATTTTTGCCAAGTATTTAAGAATGAACGTAAATGCTAGTTGTGTTGACAATCTATTTAATATTTAATAGAAAAATACCTTCTTGGAAATCTGGTCTTTAAGGTTTATTCTCATTTTGCTGAAGAGCTTGAGGTTCCAGGTTCTTGGAGTGACAGGTGTGAATAAATCTAAACGTTGTTGTTGCCATCATTGTCTCATTGGAAGGAACTTTCCAAACAAATAAGCTTTTCAGTGGAAGAAAATCCACACTGCATTTGCTGGTTGGAGGACACCTCTCAACACACACACTGCATGAGTTGACCGTGAGTGCCTGCCCTGCTGATGAGGATGCTGAACTAGAAATCCCAAGATTTCATGACCTGGAAAAGATCGGGAGCTTCACATTCCATACATTTGACTCTTTTTTTTTTATTATTTTTCCTTGTATTAGGTGTTGTCAGGACTTGATTTATCTACAGGTGAAGTTTCTACAAAATCTGGGCAGCAGATACCAGTGTTAGTTGTGTCATTACTAAAGAAGAAATCAGGGAACTTAAGTTGTACCTCTTGTTTACATTTGGGGTGAGGAATATATGGAGTGACATTGGACCACTGTATTTTTCTTTAGCAGTTTTGAAGGTACATATTTTTTCTTAATCGAAAAAGAGATGCAGGGTAGCAACATTCCTTTTAAAATAGGTTTGCCTACGGAAAAATTTAAATGTGAACAGATTGTGGTTAAGTACTGATCAATTAACATCATCCTGTGGAGGATTTTATTTCTTGTTTTTATAAAAAGTAGTAACCATGTCCAGCTCAACTTTTGACTACAAATCTAATAAATAATCTCTATTATAATCACTCAAAGCACTTTAGATATCTGGACTACCCCAGATTATTTTTAGATACTTTGTAGTATCTGCTTGTTATGATCAGTTGAATGATCAACATTGTTTTGTCTTTAAGCAATGCTTCAGTGAATATTTTTGTATCTTTAGTTACGTGGGTTCGTATTTGCCACTTAACACAATTTTAAACTGGCATTCCTGACTTTGGTAAGATTAATTTTTGCTCACTTCATCTGAGAAGTTAGGTTTATGCTGAGAAAACATACATGTATATAACCAGGAAGAAGCAAAGATATTACTGTGGCAACTTTGCTTCATCAGTATTAAATACAATGGTACTCCTTGGAATATTATTTTTAATAAAAGTTATATGTGGTACTTTTATTTTTGGACTATTTTCTGTGGGGTCTTTTGTTGTTTTGCTGGGTGTTTTTGTGGGTTTTTTTAGGTTTTGGGTTTGCTTTGTTTTTCCAATCAAGATTTGGCCAGATTAATTAGAAATGTACCTTAGGATAGAAATCCACAATGCTTGAAACAGTAAAGCTGTTGAAATGACCATAATAAATTTACACTGTTGGAGGGAGGCTTTCTGGAACAGCAGGAGGTGGCAAGACAGGATTGAACCCTCTCTTGGAATGAATGGAACCTGGTAAAATGACTGTTTGGTTTAACTCCAAACTGGTTCAGAATATCCAGGGTTCATTGGTAGTGTCTGCCACATCACAATCATTTCATCACCTCAGCTGCTTTTGCCTTTTCCCTTTTTACAGATTTGATGTGTTTGAAGGGAATTTAATTTGCCAGCTGTTAAAACTGGGGGAGAATACAGTAAGGCCAAGGTAAAGGTAAAGATGAATTGCCATTAATCAAAAGCTACCATTAAACAAAGCTGAATGTGGTCGAGTGTCAGTTAGGATTTATCAGGTATGGATTAACCCTGTGGCAAATTGTCTGTTCCTTGGATCCAGTTCTTGTTGTTTTTCAAGTCAAATTTATGAAAAATTGAGTTGTATACTCTTGCAACATTGTTGGTTTTTTTTTAATATGCACTTTTTTTTTTGCTTTGGTACTGGAATATTGAAATAAAAAACAAAGGCCATTGAATATTTGTGAACATTAAGATTTGATTTCTCATAATGATTTGAAATTCAGTAGATGTTCTAGAATTTAATTAGGTACAAGTAGGATGATGAATAATAAAAGTTGCCTTCATTTTGATTAGTCTAGAAAGGTGATGTTATTCAGTAATTAGTTCTGTTAGGCTTGTAAAAATTTTAATTTTTATGATGATGATGTATTGTTGAATGTATTTTTATTTAAATTTTATTTTCGTATCGAGACATTAAAATGTTTTGTAACATCGCTTGAGAATAACTCAGAAATAAATCCCAACAAAGCTGATGTGCTGTGTGTTCATTGTGAGCCCTGGCTGCTGAAAATGTTATCATTTCTCTGGAGGCTGGGTGAGCAGGGGGTCATGTGCAGGATTGCTGTCTGCTTTGTCTTCCACTCCCTGTCCTGGGAACCAGCACCTGCTACAGAATTAGTCTGAAATATTTTAAGTACATCACATGTGGAAAAAAACAGTGTTTACTTTTATCAGCCTGATTTTAGTTTTTGCCACCTGCTGCGCCCTCCCATGTTTGTGGCATTTTTTATGAGATGATTTTGTACAGGCACGTTTTAATGTCCTGAGATGTTTTGTTCCCTTGTGCAGAGCACTCCCTGTTGTTTTGTGCTGGTGTGGAAGCTGCTTTTAGGAGTTCAGTGCAAACCCTGCAGCCAGTTTGGAATTCATTTTGATTCATCTGTTGGGTTAACAGTTGGGCAGGGTGATCTTAAAGCTCTTTTCCAATCTAAATGATTCTGTGATTCTGTGGATAATACAGGAGAGATGCTTTACAAGACTTTCTTAATTTCTGACCATCTGTATGGATTTTAAACTGCAAAGTTTGCAACCTTGAATCGTGTGATTAGGGCAGATTCGGTATTGTTTGTAAAAAAGCATTTGTTTGTAAGTAAGGTTTAAAAAGATGCAGTGGCTGCAGTTCAGGAAATGTATATGCTTTGTAAGACTATTTTGGATTGGGGGTTTCTTTAAGTAAAGCAATTAGAAGACCTTGCTGAAATGTTTTTAAAACATTCTTTTTGTTAATTAGTGTTTATGGAAAATAACAGAATTCGTCTGTATGTATAAATCTTACATTTCTATGGACGATCATATGAAGTATGATCAAGATTTACAAGTGTTTGAGTTCACAATTATTTTAGCATAATTACTGTTGCAAATGCTGTGGTAGTTGTAAATGAAGTCTGGCTAACAATTTCACCAAAAAAGAGACCGCAAATATTTACACTGATGTTAGAAACATAAGTTATGTGGCCTTTTGAATGCAATCAGACAATTCAGTTTGCTTTAAGGGGTCTGTGATTTCGTTTCCCTGATTCCTTGGTGTGGTTCCTTGTGTATTTCTGCACAGCAGCTCCCTGCTGGCCATTGACAGTCCTGGGTGGCACATTCCTCTTGGTCAGGTGGCACAGAGAATCATGGATCATCTAGAGTTGAACAAAGAGTTTTGGCAGAGAACTGTGCTTGAATTATTTTCTTTGGCAGGTAAATGGACACAGTCCTTCAGTGTTTTGATATATGTTAGATTATTGACAGAACAAACAGTGAGTGGGCTAAACAGTCCAGCACATGCATCAGTTGGCCAAGATACACACATGCTTACATAACTGTTCTTTGCATTATCATAAAACTGACATTGTCACAACAGGTTTGTTTTTAATCAAAATAATTCTCAATTCTGTGTTTGGGAGTAAACAAACTGGGAAAAGAAAAACAAAAACTGACAAAAAAAATTCAAAAAGTTGTAAGAGGGAAGAAGAAAGCAAAAAAAAAAAGAAACAAAATCAGGTTATATTTCCAGACATCTCCATTCTCAAAAGATTCATGAAAGTCTGTGAAAGGCATTGTACATGCTTTCAAACCACTGTCTGTGCAATATTCAGCATTTAGGAAGGTGTAGAGAGAGTTAAAATGTTCTTACAAGATGAAGATGCATCTGAAATGGGAGTAGGGGTATGAAAAGAACACTGTTATGGCACTGATGGAAGTTGGGTGTCAAACACCTGGAGCTTTGAGAATTTTTTGACATGGGGACAGTCAGAACCTGGAATCAGTCCTTGATGAATTGCACTGCATTCTTCCTGTGAAATCATTACTGTAAATTAATTGATTATAAATTGTGTAATAGAAAACAGTATTTCAGACTTGGATACCTACTGTTGTGAATGTCTCCATTCACGAGTTGTTGGTTTTTTTCCCATTCTCCAGCACAGAATTGGCTGAGCAGCTTTAAATCTTGCTGAACAATCACTCGATGGGCTGAAAGGAACTTGGTTGAAGTTCTCATATTTAGATACTCCATTTGGAATGTTTTCAGTGAATGAGATGAGAAAATGCCCAGTCTGAAATCATGGGTTTTTATTTACAGTTAAGACAGTGACTGCATAGAGAAAACTCCCTGACAAAGCTGTCATGGCTTGTGCCACTTTCCCACTGCAACCTCCTGGATGTCACGTGTGCCTGTGGCTCACAGGTGAATTCTGGAACTATTGCTCCAAATGGCTTGAACATTTTTATACAGCTCTTGAAGTGATCAAATGGCCAAGAAAATAATGAGGAGTTGGGAAATTACTAATTAAGTTAAAGGTGCCTGTATCATATTTGCTCTGCTTTCACTCCTAATGGAAGCATGGTTTATATTGGAATTTGCAAAGTGTGTGACATTACATTTTGGCAGCATCCAAACATAATTTTAACCTGTGTCATAGTTTGCTTTTAAAGCTGAGGAGAATTGCAGTAGTTTCCATCTAATCCCTGCTAAAAAAAAAACCCCTAGAGATGACAAGGCAAATTGTGTAAATTTAAAAAATAAAATTAAAAAAGCCACAAAACCAAAACTCAGGGTTTTTTTTTGGTTTGGTTTGGTTTGTTGGGTTTTTTTTAAGAAAAAGTGGCAGTTGGCATTTTACATAGCAGAAGTTAAATGTGCTTAAGTTTCAGGGTTTTTTTTAATTTTACTTTAGGAACATATACATTCAAATCTTAAGCATTCATGCAAAAGGTTTAAAAATACAATGTATTATTAAAGAAAAATTATGTATACATTTTCTTTTCAAGTTTTATAAAAGCAGTTTTAAATTTAAACTTTTCTGTATTACACCTAGTCCCAGTAATTCAAATTCAAGAGTGTCACAATGGTTTAAAAAAATAGAAAAGAATGATGAATTAAAATAATGGATTTAGTAAAGAACACCATGGATTGAGAGAAGTGTGAATCAGCCGAGGTAAGAGCAAAAGATTGTTGAATTGATTGATTGTTCAAGGAAATTATAGGTTCTTCTGAACTGATAGTTGATTAATGTAGAAATATCAAATCTGTAAGATCAATACAATTTGTATTTTTTACTGTATTACCAATTACCTGCCACTGAGGTGAAGCTGTGCTAGAAGTTGCACCACAGCTGCTCAGAGTGCTCTGTAGGAGAGAACATCCTTCACGAATGTCAGTTTGGCATCTGCCAGGTGTCCTGTTGAAACATAAAAAAATGTTTTAAAACTATATAAGTGCACTCTAGTCTTGCAGAAAATCTTCCTTGGTTTAAAAACATCGTGATTACATATGAAGTGGATTTATTTCTATTTCTGTTCATACTCTGTGTTACTCTTACAGCACTTGCAAAGCTGGCTGGATGCACTGTGTGCTCCTTGTCCATGCCAGCAATCCTTCACTGGGAGATCAACTTGCACTCTGCCACACCAGGCAAGCAAGAAATTATTTTACCTTTAGAACATCAAACCAGTGTGAATTTTAATTATGTTCAGCGTCACTGAAGGTAGGAATGGTTACAGTTTCAAGTATGAAGAGTTCCACAAATAAAGGTTCTCTGGCTCCTCAGCGTAAAGAAAATTGGGGCTTGATTACAGATGGTGCCATTTGTGTTATCCAAAATTGCCTTTCCTCAAATGAATTTCAAAATTTGCCTATGTGTTTACATATTACAATATTGTTATGATCTGAGAGCTGATTTACAGAGAGAGATATTTCTGTTACAAGCAGGACTACATGTTTGGATGGAATTAGATTTGGAATGGTGAAAGAGGATTAAGAAATGCAACTTCCATCTCTGCCCTTCCTTTCCTTTTAAAATATCCCATTTTTTAGGCTGTACCTTATTTAGTCTGCATTTTTGCAGTCATTATTCCTGTGCCTTTGCCATCGTGCGTAACCCTGCTGTGGTGATTGGCAGCAGTTTTTATTGAAGGGACGCTGGCACAAACAACAGGTTAGTGTTTTGAAAGCTCAACCTGGCAGCGTTTCTGCTGAGCACAGACAGTAGGAGTAGCGGGTTTTTAAGTGGTAGTAACAATTTCTCATGTTCATAAGCAGCAACCCAGCCTAGTTTTTGAAGCTTAGCCCCACAGTCCACAGGACTGGAGTGGTCGTAGAGCAGAGCGCTGAGGATAAGAACTGCTTGGTTTGACTTTATTTTCTAACAGTGGGTTAATCAATAGAGAATCAACTGATTTTTTTTCTACTGAGCAAGTGGGACCCAGTGCACATTTCAGATCTGGCCTCAGCCAACAGTGTAAGTGTGATTGGAGTAATTTAGCTTTGCAAAGTGAGGAGCAAAGTTCGGCCCAACCACCTAAACCAGTGTGGACATCCTGAGATTTCTGCAGGGTGATCAGAGACCTGATAAACTACAGTGAGCTGATCAGAAACCACAGTGGTTTTGGGTCTACCTCCGTGGAAATATCCCACACTACACAAAATGTAAGTGCTCCATATGTTTCTAAAGCTGCCAGGCAAACGATTTGTCGGGCACAATCAGGTGCTCTGAATGATTTGTTTGGCAGCGGCATAGAATTTTTTTGTAGCTCAAATACTTGCTAAGTCTTGAGAAAGGGGAAAAAAAGGTGAATTTCAGTTCTTACAACTTCCATTAATTTGTTCCTTCTGACTTCAGATAGAATATTGTATCTTTAAAGTTTAATTTTTACATGAAGTTAACAGTACTTAACAAACTTTAAGTAGGGTTAAAGAGACAGGGCACTGTATTGGAAAAGTAAATTTTGTATTTTTGGGGGGATAAAGATTAGTAAATAAATATTAATTTCTATTATCTTTTAAACTAATGATGTATATTGTTTGGCTTTGTTCTTATGTACACTTAGAAGCTCCACTTTTAAAGGCGTGTGTAGTTGTATAGATAGATACTTTGCTTTTTAATGCAATCAAGCCACTTTGAAATTCCCTTTAAAATTTTTAGTTCTCTAGTGCTTCACAAATCACCTGTTTTTCTGCTGATTTCTTTTGTCTCCTCACAAACTCAAGCTGATAAATTGGCCAGTAAATTCAGAGCTGTCCTGCTCCGACATTTCAAAGCAGGTGTATTTAAATCGACCATTTTCCATGAAGGATTGCTACTGTACAACCAGAGGCAGTGGACTTGGAGAGGAATCCAAGACAGACTCACAGGATCGATTCGGTGGGAGGAGACCTCTGAGATGATCAAGTCCAACCAGACCACGGCACCGAGTGCCACGTCCAGGCTTTCCTTGAACACCTCCACGGTCGGTGTCCCCTCAGGCTTCCCAGGCCGCCCCTCTCGGTGTCCCCTCACGCTGTCCGGGCCGCCCCTCTCGGTGTCCCCTCAGGCTCCCCGATCAGCCCCTCTCGGTGCCCCCTCACGGCTCCCGATCAGCCCCTCTCGGTGTCCCCTCACGGTTTCTGGGCCGCTCCTCTCGGTGTCCCCTCACGGTTTCTGGGCCGCCCCTCTCGGTGTCCCCTCAGGCTCCCCGATCAGCCCCTCTCGGTGTCCCCTCACGCTGTCCGGGCCGCCCCTCTCGGTGTCTCCGCGATCAGCCCCTCTCGGTGTCCCCTCACGCTCCCCGATCAGCCCCTCTCGGTGTCCCCTCAGGCTCCCCGATCAGCCCCTCTCGGTGTCCCCTCAGGCTCCCCGATCAGCCCCTCTCGGTGTCCCCTCACGCCGTCCCGGGCCGCCATTCCCGCTCCCGGCCCCGCCGTCCCCGCTCCCGCCGGGGGGTGGCGCTGCCGCCCCGCGCGGCCGCCGCGTCCCCGCCCCTCCGCCATGGCCGATGTGGAGGACGGGGACGAGCCCGGCGCCCCCCACTCGCTGCCGGGCTCCGCGGGCTCCAAGGCGGGCGGCGCCGACAAGATGTTCTCGCTGAAGAAGTGGAACGCGGTGGCCATGTGGAGCTGGGACGTGGAGTGCGACACCTGCGCCATTTGCCGGGTGCAGGTCATGGGTGAGCGGCGGGCGGGCCGCCATGGCCGCGGGGCGGGGGGTGCTGGGCCGTGCTGGGCCGTGCCCGAGCTGTCCTCAGGCCGTGCCCGAGCCGTGCTGGGCCGTGCTCAGGCCATGCCCGGGCCGTGCCCGCTCCCCGGCCCGGCGGGCGCAGCGCTGGGACGCGGTTTCCGGAGGGAGGGGGGCTGATCCTCCCGCCTCCGCTTCCTCCCCCGCGCCTTCCCCGCAGCAGCAGCAGGAGGAGGAGGAGGAGGAGGAGGGCCCCGCGGGGGCCGGGCCGCCGCGCTCCGGGGGACAGACCGGCCCCGCGGCCCCTCCGGCGCTGTGGGGGCAGCAGCGCCAGCCCCGGGCCCGGCAGGGCCGCCTGTCCCTCGGCAGGGCTGGGCAGGGCCCGTCCCGGGCAGGGCCGGCCTCGCCTGAGGGCTGTGCTGAGGGTCCGCCCGCAAACCCCGAGTTACAGCCGAGCTGAGCCGAGTGCTGCGTGTGCTCCTGCTGTTTTGTTGGCTTTGGTTTGGCTTGCTTAAATTTTTTTTTTTTTTTTTTTTTTTTTTTTAAGAAGAGGTTGCGGATGTAGATATAAATTTCATAGCTGCTAATCCAGAGTGTCTTGACACTACTCCACAAGCCTCCTGATTTCTGGTCGGTGTTTAACACACGTGAATGTACTGAGAAATCTATTGAAAAGTAAGGGGTTAATTTATCTGGTTTTGAAATCCAGAGACTCTCTTTCAAAGCAGCCTTATGTTTGACAAAACACTACTGTTTTTTTTGACATCTCTTGCAAATACGATATTTATCTCAGTTCTTCAAAAACTGTTTAAATTTTTCCTCAGCTATATTTGTGAATCCGATTTTTGCCATTATGCCGAGTCATCCTAGGTATAACTGTCCTCTTAGTCAGGCTTGGTACAGTATGGCAGAACAAATGACCCAAGACTCCCTCCAGAGAACCTTGCCTTTTTGGGTCCAGCAACCACGGTACTGCAAATCCAGCCAGGATTTAGTTTAACAGAAATGAGACAAAATGTGCAATGCTGTGATTTCTCATATATGTTTTTACTGGGAACCTTCTGTGGAACAAGAGGCAGAAGGGTGTACTGGAGGAAAAAAGATGCAGCATGGACTGAAGTGGTGGGAGATTCACCTTTGAACATAAACATGTTAGGTTATTTGCTTTTATATGGTAAACAGAGACCACCCAGGAAGAATTAAATTGGCTTTATTTGCCATGTAAGCCTTAATTTAAAAAATTTATTTATCCCCATTATAGCTAGCCTGTTACAGGATGCTATAAAAGAAGTCTTAGATGAACAAAATCTTTCCCAGAGCTATTATAAAAATTAAAAAAAAAAAATAAAATTAGAAGGTTATATTTTTTCGGAACTAGGCCAAGGGAGTACTTTTAATCCGAAAGTAGCAGAAAAATGTGGGCACCATTTTTTGTGAACAAACGGCATTGTTAGAAGGTGAAAGCTGATCGTTCCAGTGTGGCAGTTCCACGCTGACCCTGCCAGCCCCGGCCGGGCTCCTGCAGAGCCCCTGCGTGGGCAGTAACTGGGGCTGGGGGCACTGCCAGCCTGACCTGGCACTTGCTGAGGGTTGGTTTGTTTGACTTCTGCAAGGGAAGGAGGTGTTAGCAGGCTCAGTTTTCTCCTGGGTTTAACTCCTTGAACCGGTGTGGCGTTAAAGTGCACGAGGGAAAGAAGCAAAGATGCAGGTGCTACCTGGGGAGGGCAGGGCTGCAGCAGCACTGACTTAGCTCCCTTACCCCTTGGGACACCCCCTTGGGGTTATGGTGTAAGAAGGGGACAGCTTGCTTTGGTGTGGTGGCAGTGACTTCTGCCCTCAGCTCTGTGCTGCTTCTCTGTCTAAAAATACAAGTCCAGGGCTAGATGGGACAGCTGCTTTTCCTGTGCCCCCCAGTCTGCCCCAGCTTTCCGCCCTGGCCACGATCAGGGTGCTCCCAGGGACCAGGGCACAAGCTGAGGCAGTCTGGCAGAATCTTCCCTGCACCTTGGCTCTTACCTGCTGTGGAAATATAAATTACAGGAACAGCCAACAGGAAACTGTTCACTGTTTCGCTTTTATCTCGGTGAGAAAGGGCAGTCGTTTCAGAGTTCTGTCTTCTTTGTTCTCTGTTACCTGAGGAGAGGGGGAATGTCCGGGCAGATGAATCTAAACCAGAAGTACTGGCCCTATCTGGCAGAGCCACAGACCAGAGTGCATAAAGATGATAAACATTTTTGATTAGGTATTGTTCCGTGTTTATTTGTTAATTTATATTCTCAAATTTGCCACTATATTTGCATGTATGTGTAATTCTTGTGAATATTGCATGCAGGTACTTGTTAAAGAAAATCACTATAAAAAGTAATAGGAGGTGGGAGTTGTGGTGAGAGATGTGCAGCCTAAAAATTCAAAATTGTGAATGATTTCCTTAAAAGGAGATGCTGACATCTGAAAAACAAAGTCCTGTAATTAAGGTTTGGCTTTGTGCTTGCCCTGCTCTTAATATGCCTGAGTGCCTTGGCACACATCTGCTGGTTGTTGTATCTACAAAATGGAGAAGGCTTTTTTTCAGCAAAAGTTATGAAAATACCAAAGCAATGGAAAATAAACAAAACTTGTTGGACGGTTTATAGTTCTTCTGATCTCTTTCAGATATTTATTTCATTGTCGTTTTCCCAGTTTTAGAATTTAGGAGGGACTATTTAATGTTAAAGGGCTGAACCAGATACCCAAACTTGTGATTTTTACCTCTGTAAATTTGTTTTAGAGTTTATATTTTCCTCTGACAAACGTATTCTTAAGATGGAATCCTGAGAATCAAATTGAGTCTTGTTCTTGTTTACTTTTAGATGCCTGTCTTAGATGTCAAGCTGAAAACAAACAAGAAGATTGTGTTGGTATGTAGTGATTTCATTCGCTTGTTTTTCAGTTGAAGCTTCTCTCAGTATGGTGCATGTGAAAGTTTGAAGGGAATACTGATTTTATTAATGCTCAGAAGTAAGCTGCTGTTTCATTCTACATTGTGTCATCTTTTTACATTACTAATACTTTATGCTTTATTTTTGAGCCCCAGTAAAATCAGTTTTCGTGTCAGTTGTGCTGTAAAACAAAACAGCTTCAAATTTGCTGTCAATACCTACACAACTGAGAGGTTTAGGTTTCCCTGTGAGCATGTCTGAGGAGATCCTGATGTGCATTTTTGAAGTGGGTAGGAAAAAGCCACTTTTTCTTCTGAGATGCCAGGCAGAAGACACAATGGTAACATCAATAAAAATCCCATGTTCCAAAATAAATGTACATCTGGGTTACAAAGGAGTGTTTTTCCCACTCTTAATTCAGACATGATGGAGGCATGGCTTGTTTGTTCACTTTTCTTTTTAAGAAGTGCAATCACTTGAGTTTGCTCTAATTCTATTTAAGTAGGAACATACTTTCAGTGCCAGTGGATGCAAAAGACAGTCTTAATTGTGAGATGCTCAATTTGGAAACAGTGAAAACTTATTTCAAAGAGTTTGCTTTAAACCTTTAAGACAACTTTTGAACCAGAGGAAAACCTTTCCGTGCCGTTGTGCTTTGTGTCTTGAAGTATCTTGTCCCAAACTCAATCCACTGTTGGTTTTTGATGGCAGAGAACTGATTATCTTCAGGATGATCAATAATACTTCAGTTCCAGGGGATAAATTAGTCTCTGAAGCTTCCAGTGGCTGTAAATATTTGATAATGCTGATTTGGACCTCGCTGTAGGTGTTGATGGAACAGCTGAGTGTGACTGGAACGTGTTCTTTCTTCTCTTTCAGTGGTTTGGGGAGAATGCAATCATTCCTTCCACAACTGCTGCATGTCCTTGTGGGTGAAACAGAATAACCGCTGTCCCCTGTGCCAGCAGGACTGGGTAGTCCAGAGAATAGGCAAATAAATCTGGAAGGTTTCTGACTGTTGGACTCGCTGAAAGAGTGTGTGTCTGATGCAAAGGAACGGAACGTGTCAATCACAGCGTGACTCTTTAGTTTATCTGCTGCGAGGGCAGGGGGGCTTGGTTTGTGCTCTTTGCTGTAGGAGGAGGCAGTGGTCAGTCCTACTGCACCTGTTCCACCACTGAAAGGACAGACACTGTGTTAAAATGTATCTGCTACAGTTAAAGTGTTGCCTTTATCACAGCAGAGGAGTGTGGTGGTGCAGATTATACCTAATTTAATGTTTTTCCATAGATAAATGAATTAATTGAAAGGCAACCTTACCTGTAAGTCTGAAACACTGCATAGTTTACTGTCAAGGTAAAGACAATGTTTTCTAAGTAGTATTGTATACAAAAACACAGTCAGTGTGTTTTTTAGGAACTATTTTGGTTTTTAATCTGAAATGAAGAGTGTTTAAAACATTTACGACGTGCTTTTCCCATCACACTTTATCAGACATTTCTAATTCAGGTTTTCTTTTGTTGTATCTCTAAGGCTGCTGCTGTTATAATCTGTACATAATTTCGACACTGTAATATTAAAATTTAACCACATCAGTAATTTTTTATTTATGTTTCTGTTAATGCTCATGGAGACATGCATTTTTAATCCAGAGAGATTTGGTACAAAGGCATGGGTTTGATATCAGTTAGCTAGAGGTGTAGACAATCTTGCTGGTTAGCTCACTAATATAGGAAGCAAACAAAGTGGATCATTTAAATATCCCAAGGAAAACAAGCACTAATTAAATTTATGGGAAAAAATGCTTAGTTGTGGTTTCATGAAAATTCAGTTAATAGAAATTTCTTTATTATCTTTTTACTGATTACAGTGTTTTGGAAGCATTGTTGCATTTTTATGGAAATCCTCAATATATCATCTTTTTTATATGAATTGTGATCTTTTTCTTACAAATATTTAAGTGCTTGCCTCTGACTGTCTTTTCCCTAACTATCTAAAGGAATTACTATTAATCTGAACATATGCTGTGGAGTGTTTTTAATATGTGTAATGGAGAGGTAGAATTACTGGTTTGAGTCTGTAACAAATTCAGGATTAATAAAATGATTAATAAACATGGGTGAAATTGAAGCAATATTATATGCATTGTTTACTTCAAAATGATCACCTTCAATGTTTCATGTGTTTCTCAGCAGATGTGCTTCTATCTGGTTCTGTTTAAGTATGTTTAAAGAGGTTTATCTTCATGGTATAAAGTAGTTCTAGTGGCAATCTTTGTGTCATCAAACATTTATGCAGAGTTTACTGTGGTTTTGTTTATTACTTGTAATCTTGTTTTTAAGATGTTTTAAATTCTTTAGATACAGCTTTTGTCTCATTACACACTGAGATCAAAAAAATCCTCTGTGTCACCGTTCCACTGTGTCACATCCTGTGCCATCATCCCAGATGATGTCTGTCTTTTAACAGTAGTAACAAAGTGCCTATAGCATTTACATCATTGAGCAGTATTTCTGTTTGTGTACAAGCATTCCCAAAATTTTGGGGGGAAAAAAATATGAATGGATGTGGAAATAAATTTTAGCTGGCATAGTTAAACTTTATCTTACCTACTGTCCATTTTCTCTGTCCAGCTTTGGTCCCAGCTCCATCCTGTAACCTCTGTTAATGCCATCGACTCCCATCAGAGGACGAAAGTTTTGTTACCTCCTTTCTTTCTTTTCTCTACCCAGGATATTGTAGGACTGTGTTGCTGCTCAGGAAAGCCAGCGGGAGAATTCCCCATTCCTTGCTCCGGCTATTTTGGGCTTTGCCCACACTGCACCGTTCAGCCCTTTATGTAAGCAGCCCCTGGCCCTGCTTGCTCTCACCTGGCACAACTGGCCAGGCTTTCAGCTGCTGTGCCTGAGTCCCTGTTAACGTGCACACACAGCAGCTCGCAATGGACGGCCCAGCAGCCACAGCTGCAAAACACACCTGCAGGGCACTTTGCTTAACTGGGAGGTTTGTGTCAGAACAGGATTCGTGCTTGTGGAAATAAAATACTGCATGGTAGCAGAGTGGCCAAAAGCAGCCAAGAAGGGCTTAGCACTTACTGTAGGGAGTCAGAAAGGTGCCTGTTATTACTCTTCATTTCAGTTTTTGTGATTCAGCTCCTCAGCTTTCTCTAAGACCGGGGAAGAAACTTGACCTTGACCTCAGGAGTACAGCTTGACCTCAGTGCTACTGGAGGAATCAGGAAACTTCTTTTCGTGTTCCCATAATACCTTCCTTACGCTTAAAGAAAGTTTTAACAGCCAGATCACCTGACCCCACAGCAGCAGGGGGCTTAGCCTAGTAAGTGCCCCACATAGTGTTTATTCTTTTGAGGGAAAAAAAATGCCTCCTGGTAGGCAGCCAGCAAGTGAAGTCAAGTGGAATTTGCCTTCACTTGATTATAATCAGCTTTGTCCCTTTGTTGATGTCACCTCAGCTATATGCAGTTGCCATCATCTCATCCTGACACTTTTCCGTCATAAAGCTCAGCAGAGAAAATAAACTGAGGCCATAATATGGGAGTGTTTTGGCAAGATCTGGCTGGTCGTGTGAGGTGGTTTTGCTTTTTCTGCGGGTAGGAGATGAAGTCAGAAGTGTCCGTTGTTTCGTATGTAGGGATCACTATTTTTAGTTCTTAGCCTGCACCTAATCTGCTCAGACAGAGCAATGCCAGGCATCCGGGCTGGCATGAGCTGTCTGTGGGAGCTCATCACTGGTGTTGAGTATAACTTGAGTTTTGGAAGTGTGGAGACTCAAATTGTGTGGTAATTTAAAGCTCAACATCTCACGTTCATCTGTGTCAGCTTCTGTTTCAGGCACGGCAGATCTGTGATAACAGCTTTGCATAAAATCAGATCCCAGCATATGGAACTGTGGCTGTGCTGGAGTTCTCTGTCGAGTGAGGGAGATCCAGGGCTGTCCTGACTGTGGCCAAAGTGCTCCTGGGTTGGAGAGAGCAGGTACTGCAGACAGGAATCTCAGCATGTTCCCAGCAGCCAGGGACAGTGCAAGGGGGGGAATCTCAGTGCATGTAAGCGTTGTCAGGGCCCGTTCTGAAAAACACCAGCTGACCCACGTGCATTTGGTGCTGCCAGTGGGAAGGTTTGCCCAGGATGTCATCCCTCAGCTATACATAGCAAACTCAAAGCTCCTTACAGAGAAACCTCTTACCAGTCACTTTCCACAAATGGTGCATATATCTAAAGGTACTTAGTGAAAATCCTTGAGAGGTATTTAATGCAAAAGCAGTTGGTCTCTGGCGTTTTTCAGAAGCCCTCACCCCACCAGGGCAGGGAGAAGTGCAGGGCAGCTCCAGCACAGCGCTTGGGACAGTTACTCCTTTTGTGTGAAACCGGGCTCTGCCACCCCGAGAGCTCGCCAAGATGTGTGACATGGGGGGGCTCGACAACCTGATTGCCAACACGGCCTACCTGCAGGCCAGGAAGAGCGGAGAGGCAGACACCAAGGAGATGCAAAAGAGGCGTAAGAGCCTTTCCCTGCCCAAACTCGACCAGTGCAAAGAGGAGAGAGAGTCCATCGTCGCTGACTACGACAGCATCTGTGAGCAGCAGCCCATCGGCAAGAAATTCTTCCGAGACTTCTTGGAGACGGTGCCAGAGTATTTGGTAGCTAGGGACTTCCTGGATGAGGTGTCAAACTGGGAGCTGGCAGAGGACAACATCAAGAGCAGTACCATGGAGAATATGGTCACCAATTTTCTTAAGGAAGGCTCCAAGAACTATCTGTCTTTCATGAGCTCTGACTTGGTCAGCAAGTGCCAGGCAGCTACTGCAAAAGACTATGAGAATGTCATGCAGCTGGCCAGGGACGAAACCAAACTCTTCCTTAAAGACAAGCCCTTCCAGGATTTCCAGACGAGCCCCTTCTATGACAAATTCATCCAATGGAAAGTTTTTGAGAAGCAGCCGGTAACTGATAAATACTTCTATGAGTTCCGAGTGCTGGGCAAAGGTGGCTTTGGAGAGGTAAGAGCTGCACTTTTAAGGATGTGAATCATCCCTCCCCTTTCAAGACCAGCAGGTGGGTTTGCAGAGAGCAGCGGATTAAGAAATTGTGTAACGATTTGCAAAACTGCCCCTTCACAGTGCCTGTTTTTCAGGGATTGGGCTGGGTTATTTGTACTGTGATGGGGTTAGTGAAGAGCTGCTTTAAAGTTTCTACATTCTGTATCTATGCTAGTAAAAAAAACAGGCTGCTTTACTAAAGCCTTGCATGACTGTCCATATAGTCAAGTATTAGTGTGCTCCTTGGCACCGTTGTAGCCTTGCTAGCTCACACACTCCCAGATAATTCCTAGCTGCAGTGTAGGGAATAGCATGCTCTGTTCCCAAATTACAGTGGGACTCAGACTACCTTTTTGGAGAGACAAGAGGGTTTTACTGTACAGATGCAATCCGTGTGTGCTGCTTATTCTCTTGGTTACACAATTTTGTTCTTGTCCTTGTTCCTTTCCTTTGCTAATACATCTGCTCATGGTGTCCTCAAGAACTTTGCACCAGGTCAACCATATACTGGTTCAGAGCAGAACAGATTGTACTGATGGTTTTTTCCCTTATTTTCTCTGCTAATACACTCTTCCGTGGAAGTTAGCATCAGCAGCCACTAATAGGCATCAGCGATTCCCCAGTTTCTGCCTTGATATTCCAGTCTCCATGTCAGATTCCTTCATCACCTTCCCATATGCATCTTCTCTAGGTCTGTGCCATCCAGGTGAAAAATACTGGCAAGATGTATGCCTGCAAGAAACTGGATAAAAAAAGGTTGAAAAAGAAAAACGGAGAGAAGATGGCACTGCTGGAGAAAGAGATCCTGGAGAAGGTCAACAGCCCTTTCATAGTCACCCTGGCTTATGCCTATGAGAGCAAAACCCACCTGTGTCTTGTCATGAGCCTCATGAATGGAGGGGATCTGAAGTATCACATCTACAACGTGGGAGAACGGGGTTTGGAAATGAAGAGGATCATTTATTACTCGGCTCAGATCACCTGTGGGATTCTGCATCTCCATTCCATCAACATCGTGTACCGGGATATGAAACCGGAAAACGTCCTCCTGGATGATAATGGGAATTGCAGACTGTCTGATCTTGGATTGGCAGTGCAAGTCAAAGAGGGAAAACCCATAACTCAGAGGGTGAGTACAAATTCACTGAACGTGGGAAGGGAAGCTGTTCTATTCTAGTGCCTGATGAGTCCAAGGCTTAATTACCCGCAATTTATTCTTTGCTAAAGACCTTACGTAGTCATTTCATTCTGAGAGACAGGTTGTAAGAAGATTTGGTTAATTGACTGTCTAGATGCTGCATGTAGTAAAATAACTTACTTTGCACAGAAAGAGTAAAATCAACTTGACCTGTTGTTTTCTCTTAAGCTCTTGAACCAATCATTTTAGGGGGGCAGATGCCTTGTGCCTTGAGCAACCCTGCAGAGTCAGGGATTTAACCAATGACTTGTTTAATGAGCAGCAGTCAAATATATGACTCCTTGTATTCCACTTTTGCTCCTGGAAGAATGCAATTTCTTGTACATTGCTCTTAAGTGATTGCACAGCAGGTGTCCGTGGTGCCGCACAATAAACCATTGCCAACCTTCCTCCTCCCCACAGATTAATTCCTGATAAAGTTAGCACATCTGAAAGCTTGTCTGCATGTGTAGGGAGAAAAAGGTGGATGGCCAGCTGGATTCTGTTGTGTAAATTTGCTTGTGCAGCCCTTAGCTGTGCCTGTGGTCATCCCAAACTCTCCTGGGTTTGTAGTAACGTCAGGAGGTTTACACAAGAAATTTGTAGGGGACTAAACTATGAAAAAGGCCTATTTCTCTCAAGGCATCTGCAGCTTAAAGATATATATAATGAGAGAGTGTGTCTAAAACACACTAAGAATATGAAGAAAGAGGAGCAACATTATAATAACCTGGTCTAACTGCCTTGTGTTAAACTCCCCAAGTCTTTCACTCAAGGAATTCAGTAGAGGGGAGGACCTTCTAGTGGCCTTTTGCACCATGCTTGAAGTGCATGGGTTTTGATGTCGATAAATACGGTAATTTTGAAGGAAATTTTCTTTTCTTGGCAATTTA